TGTGTGTATGTATGTGTGTATGTATGTATGTATGTGTGTGTATGTATGTATGTATGTGTGTGTGTGTATGTGTGTATGTATGTGTGTGGATGTGGATACCTGAAGACAGCCATGGGCGTCATTCCTCTGGCACTATTCACATTTTGTTTTTCAGGCAGTCTCTCCTTTTTAGTGTGTGGTGTGTGTGTGTGTGTGTGTGTGTGTGTGTGTGTGTGTAGTGTGTGGATATATGTGTATGTATGTGTATATATGCAAGTTGGTGTGTGTGAATGTGGGCACACATGTACCCCAATGTTCCTGTGGAGGTTAGAAAACAACCTTGCCCTCTACCTTGTTTGAGGCAGGGTCTCTTGTTACTCACTGATGCATTCACCAGAATAAGTGGCCCAAGGATTCTGAGATAGGCTCTTTCATTTGTCAGGAACTCAACAAGTAGGAAGGAATGGTGGCCAGACAGCCCAGTGATCTGCCTGTCTCGGTCTCCCCAGCACTAGGATTACAAGTACGTGCCACCACGCCTGGCTTTTTTTTACATGGGTACTGGGGATGGAACTCGGGTCCTCATGCTGTCAGGGAAAGCACTTTATCCACTGAGCTGTCTTCCGAGCCCCCAAAGTAGTTTTCTACAGTCTACCAATGGAACCAGATTTTGTGTCCGGCAACAAGCTCTTTCTATTCAGGAAACCAGACAACTTTATAGATTCCTACGGAGAGCATCAGGAATATTTTTCAATAAACAAATACAATGCAAATCGCACCTGCTTTCTTCCTAAGGTCTTCATTCACCTTGCTTCAAACAGTTGTCATCTTTGTAGAGAGCTGCGTGCTGGCCAATCAGAAGGCCAGGAGGCTTGGCCATAGGAGAAATCAACCTGTCACACATGACAACTGCATGTAGGATTCTGTGCTGGGCACTGTGGGGTAGAAAGAATTGAAGTGGTTCTCAGCATTGGAGGAAACAGATCAGATGGACAAGTTAAGCCCCAGAGAGAGACAAAGAGGGGCCACCTGAGACATCCACACTTTGTAGTAAACAGGGCCAGCAAGGAATACCACTGTATCTTAACTTCCCATCCCATGACACCTCGGTGTCAATCAAGCCCTGTGTGTCTGTTGTCATTGCATAATAAAGGACCCTAAACTCAGAAACATTAGTCAATAGTCACGTATTTAGATATTAATTCTTTGGGTTAGCAGTTTTGTCTGGGTTCAGATGGGCGATTCTTCCTGTCTAGACCAGGTTCAGCTGACCTGAACTGGACTTCCCTGTGTCTGCAGCCAGCGAAGTTTGGGCTGGGGTCTCCTTTTGTTACTGGTTGACTTTCTCATTCGTTTGAGGTCTCATCTGGGACCCCTGGGTCTGCTTCTGCTTTATGTGGCAGAACATGCCAGATTATTTCCATGGCAGTCAAGAGGGTCCAGGAAGAGGAGAGGGAAGAGGGAGAAGGATGGGGAGGAGGAAGAAGAGTCAAAAGAGAACTGGAAGGAGACAGAAGGGAAAGCAACAGAGCTTCTTGAGGCTTGGCTTAAAGCTGGCACATGGCCTTTGACCATAAATGCTGTTGGCTAAAGCAAGACCTGAGATCAGTCCAGATCCAAGGAGAGGGAAATGGACTCCATCTCAGAACGGAAGGAACTACGAAGGCATTCTACAAGGGGGTGTAGATGCAGAGAGGGTAGATAACTGGGGCATATTTGCCATCAGATTGGCTTAAACCAAGCCAGATTTCCAATGCTGACAGTGAAGATACCAGGCCCCCACTTGGCACATCCGACTTTTCTCCCTCTTTGCCGCTCTTCAGTCCCCTTCCTTGTGTTGCTTTCTTTCCTCAGTCTACTCAGACTGGAAGTTTCTTTGAAGACAAGATCACGTCGACTCTTATTTATCTAACTTTATAATTCTCCATGGCCCCCAATGCCTTCTAGGACCTAGAATAACACTTGGCCCACTGTAGCTATGCCGTGTACTGATTTTACATGGACAGTAGGATGGAGTATCAGCATGGCAGAAAAAATGCTGTTCTCCCATAAGTCACTGCATCAGCCCACCTGGATAGGAAGGAAGGACCAGGGCGCCACCCTTGCACAACCCCCAGCTGGATGGCTTCTTCTTTCCTTGTAGCCTGGGGCCACAAAGCCTTTGCTGAGTTCCTCTACTTCAACCCTCATCTTGCTTGACAAAACTATGATTCCTAACCAACGTGTTTTCATTCCTTCAGCTCACTGAGAGATGAGCAGACTTTGCACACAGGACTGGGTTCAAATCCAAATCCTACAATAGACATTTCATCCATCCTCCATCATCTAGTTATGAATTCTGTGTATAAGACTCTTCTTCATTTCATGTCCTCAAAGGGGGTGCTATTTGTGTGTGGTTTTATGTGTGCATGTGTATATACATATTTATGTGTGCAGGTGCACATGCATTTGTGTGTGTTCATGTGTGTATATACATGTAGAGGTAAGAGGTCCATGGCAGGTGTCTTCCTCTATTATTATCAATTACATTTTTATGAAAGAGGGTCTCCCACTGAACCTGAAGCTCACCGATTTGCCAAGACTAGCTGGCCACTGAGCTCCAGAGATTTCCCCGTCTCCATCTCCCCAGCACTACGATTACAGGCATGTGCCACCACACCCAGCCTTTAACATAGGAAATGGAGAATCTGAACTCATGTGCTCAGGCTTGTGTGACAAGCACTGTACCAGCTGTACCATCTCCTTAACCCCAAGGTGGGCAGTTCTTAATAATGCGGTTAAGATTAGTCAAATCTCCAATTTGTAGGGGTAGTAAGGGACATTCTAGGAATCCCTTGAAGGATTTCTTATCTGAAAACACCTGTTAGAAAAACAAAAAATAAGCCTTCTAATGAAAAAAAGAAATAAATCAATGATACAATCAATTCATTGTCTCCTCCAAATGTCAGTTTGAAATCTTTCATGACCAACTCAGAAAAACTCTCTCTCTCTCTCTCTCTCTCTCTCTCTCTCTCTCTCTCTCTCTCTCTCTCTCTCTCTCTCTCGTCATGTCTGTCTTCCTATGGCCATCTTTTCTCCCAAATATCCTTCACCGCTTTATTACTTTTATAGAAGGAAACTTTATTTGCTCCAGGGAGACAGTGGTCTTATCTTCAACCTAGATCCTTGTCCCTGGAAAGGTGGCCTCCTCTGGGAGTATTTTCATAGTGGGGAAAAGCAGCCAGGGAGAAATAATGAGCAAGCAAAGACAGTCTCAACTTGACACTGTGATAAATGAGGTGAAACTCTGCCAAGGAACCAGAGTTGGCGTATTCAAAAAAGAAATAAAAAGATAATTCCATTTTTAATGGGAAATATAAAACAGCCATTGTGCAAAAGTCGATTTTTCAAACACCACGGAGATAAAGACTGTAACAGAGTGATGGGGAGATGCATGAGATAACGCGCTTGATAATCAGGCTCAGGTAGAGAGTGGTGCTCCACACCATCACTGCCTCTGTTCTGGCACCTTTTAAGTCAGGTGTCTGCATTCTCTCCTGCCTTGTTATCCTATGTGTCTCTGGAGAGCTTCCTTCTATCTTTCACTTCCAACTTGAATTCCTCTCATCAACTGTAAGGAGCAAAATGAACCCAACTTTCTTCTAATCCCAAACTTCTCTCTGCCAGCCAAAAAGCTTCCAGAATCTTCCAAGGCCCCACAGAACCAAGAACTTGAGTCCAGACATACACACACACCTGCTTTTCTCAAATTCCAGTCTAGCTCAGCTTTCTACTTGTGGGCATCTCCACACGCTTCAGTCTTCTTTGGTAGACATGATCCAGGATGCTTGTGAGGGCTGTGGTTGGCACTAAGCAGCCAGCTAGGCATTCAGTGGGGTTGGTTGGTTACTTAAGGGTAAATGTGTGTGCATGAAATCCAGTGGAAGGTACCCGTTGAAGCAATTGAGCTCTGTTGTTGAACTAGGGAGACTTGGTGGTTATATGGAGATGTGAATTAGCTATGGGACCTTGGGAAGGTTGCCTATTCTCTCTCAGCCTCAGGTTCCTCAATGTTAAGCCAGTACTACACCTCCCAGATCCCAGAATTGTTTGTTTGTTTGTTTTGAGACAGGGTCTTATGTTTCTCAGCCTGGCTTCAAACTATGTAGCCAAGGATGACCTTGAACCTCTGATCTCCTGCCCTTACCTCCCACATGCTGGTGTGATGGTTGGTATTAGTTGTCAACTTAATAGGATCTGGACTCATTTAGGAGACATGTCTCTAGGCACACCTGTGACAGATTATTTACCCTCCGGGCTTGCCTGTGAGGAATTACGTCGATTGGGTTAGTTGAGGTGGGTGACTCCATTTCCTGGGCTTGGGGCCTAGACTGTATAAAATGGAGTGAGCTGAGCACTAGCATTCCTCACACCGTTCCTGACTGTGGGTGCAATGAGACCAGTTCTTCAGGCTTCTGCAGCCTTGACTTCCCCACCATGGTGGACTGTACCTTGATCTGTGAGCCAAAATAAACTTCCTTCCTGAAGTTGCTTTTGTCAGAGGATTTTATCACAGCAACAGGAAAAGAAACTACGCCAGCTGAAATTGCAGGTGTGTTCCACCATACCTCACGCTGGGATCGAATCCAGGGTTTCCTGCGTCGCAAAGCAAGAACTCTACCAACTGAGCTACATCCCTAGCCCAGCTTCCCAGAATTTATGTTGGTAAATGATGGCAGCTAAGCTGCAAATGTTTAGCATAGGGCCTAGTACATAGAAAAAGTTCAATAGGACTAGCTGTTACATGGTCTATAGATGCTTGAACATGACAGGTGTCTGACACTATTACCAAAAAGAAAAGCCTCAAGTTTCTTGGACTACTTTAAACTAAGATTACTGACAAAGTCTCATAGAGAAATACTATCCACAAATCCAGTGAGGCACACCAGCACCATGTGCTCTGACCCTGGTGGTGGCCATCCTGCCCTGCTATGCAGACCCAGAGGCCATTAGCCTCTTCCTGCTGTTCAGAGGTAAGACACCAAGGCATTAAGAATACAGTGAGCTTATCCAAGGTCACAGTTGATAGAAAGCCAGGACTTGACGCCTGCCTCCATTTCCAATGAGGTCCATGCCCTTGACCATGCCAAATACCAGCCATGACTTGTGGAGCCATAACATCTCCCAAGTGAAAAGTTGGCAAGCCTGACCCTTCCTGCGTCTGTGGGAAAGAGCTAAAAAAAAATACATAATTTCTGCTTACGGATGTTGAGATCTTTGTAATTAGGCACTCCAGTAAATTACAAGAAGGTCTAATGAGCAGGGTGTCTTCTGTCCTGTTTCTGCCCCTACAGATTGGACTCCAGAATATTATTACAGCTATGAGAATTCCAATCCAGATGAAGGCACCAGTGTTAAGCCAACCTCTCCCGAGAACCCTGACTGGTACTATGAGGATGATGGTGGGTACCATTCTGGAGGGAGCATGCCTGAGGATATTTATGTGTGGTCATATGCAAGAACCTTTCTCTTCCCTCTCTCTGGCCTGCATGATGAAATAGATATTGAAGAACTTATTTCAACTGGATTTCTCCCATTGTAATCCTAGACTACAAGGGATGGGGCTTAGAAGTGTCTCCCTACTCTCACCAGACAGGTGAAGTAAACAAGGCCAAAGAGGAGTTGACTTAGCCAAGGTCGTGCAGTAAACTGGTGCCTCATCATCCATGTCTCCTGACACTGTGAAGAGTAGTGAAGTTCAAAGTGATTTCCATATTTTTGATCCCAGGTTAAGTCCTGATTGTGCAGGAGAATCGAAGTTAGCTTTGAGCATTTGAACTGTAGCATTTGCACGTTTGGCTTTGAGACTTGGCTATGTTTTCCTTTTTCTTTTTGCTATGTAGAATTTCTTTTTTTCTCTTTCTCCGTGTGTGTGTCTGTTCATGTGGGGGGGGTATGTTTGCAAGTGGAGGTTAGAGGACAACCACAGCTGTGATTCCTCAGGAATCATCCACCTTGCTTTTTGAGACAAGGTCTCTCACTAGCTTGGGGCTTCCCGATTAAGCTAGGCAAGCTGGTCAGCGAATCCCAGGGATCCAACAGCCTCTGCCTCCCAGGTGCTGTGATTATAAGCGTGTGATACCATACATAGCTTTTTATTCAGAATCTTTTCACAGGTGTGAGTCTATGTGAAAGTGTGTGTGTGTGTGTGTGTGTGTGTGTGTGTGTGTGTGTGTGTTCACATTTTGTTTTGGTTTATGGCTTCTTAGCCCATACAGTGGTATAGAAAGGAAAATAAGAAGCAGGGTCCAAGCAAAGCCACATGACTGCACCAAGAGAAGGCCTGGAAAGCACTTAGCAGCTGGCATAAAAGCTGTGTAACTGCAAAGTGGCCTGGAAGGCAGGGCCAAGATACAGGGCACTAGGGGAACATCAGAAGGGACCATCAAAACAAGAGCCAGGCCCCAGGATCCTAGTTCCTGAACCAAAGAACAATGCATGTGAACAGAAGGATAAAGAATTCCCCAAGGGAAGATCCATTCAGACAACCATGAAAAAGCCGAAGGCACAGATGAAATATGACAAAATCTAACTGAACAAGGAGTTGAAGAAAGATGAAGGCCACTGGGTCATTTCCTCTGTGCTGTCAATTCTGTCACCCTCTTTCCTTTGCTCTTCTCTCCTGATGTTCAGAAAGCTTGTGTTTCATGAGGGGTGGGTTTGCTTTCCACACTCCTGCCTGACCTCTGCCCCTGGGCACTGGAGGTAGGGAAGGTCTTCAGGCTTGTGAAATACCTTCAGTATCAGAGACAGACCCCATGATACTCCCAGTGAGATGGGAGGAGAAAAATCACTGAGGGGAACAGGGAGTTTCTCAATGAGAAAGGCCCATCCAAAGCACACTGAGGGGACACAGATAGTTGTGCCTCGCCTCTTCTCTCACTCACCTGCATGTGACTGAGCGTGTGACTGCAGTTGCCCTTGATCTTGAAGGATGATATATGTTTTTCCCCTTGTCCAAAGGATGTGTCTGTTGTTACTCTATCATTTGGGGCAGGGGGCTAAAATTAAGTGAGATGTGAGGGCTTCCCTTTGGATCCCCTTTCTGACCTTGATGTCTGTTTTTGTGTCCTAGATCCATGCCAATCCAACCCCTGTGAACATGGTGGGGACTGTATCATCAGAGGGGACAACTTCAGTTGCAACTGCCCAGCCCCCTTCTCAGGGAGCAGGTGCCAGACCGGTGAGCACATTTCCTTTGGAGTCCCTCTTCCCCTGGGATTAAACAAGAAACCCTTCCTCCCCCATCCCTAGATGCTGCAGAAGCACTGGGCAATACTGAGGGAAAAGTTATAAATACCTATGCTGTGGTCATACATGGTGGCATCATGCCCCTGCACCATCAGAAGGGGCATCTTTCTGCATCCTCCCCCACACTGTGACACAGGACTTGTGGGCCCATTCTGCAGATCAGAATATTGGGGCTAATAGGGAATGAGAATTGGTGTCTAACCAAAATATGTCCCAACAGCAAAAGGGATTTGTTTTTAGCATTCTTAGACAGATATTGTCTTCAAATGAGGCTGCAGGGAAGCATCTTAGGGCACATAAAACCTAGTTTGAAATGGAAAGCACAGAGACAGCAGACTTGCTCAAGGTCACACAGCTGGTCAGGGGGCAAGCAGAAATCAGAGAGCCCAAGTGCCAGGCTCCCATCCTGGGCTCTTTGATCCCACTATCCTTCTGGTGTCTGCCCTTAGGACACTCTGGCAGTAATGCATGATACTGTGGATAAAACAGTAGGAAGAAAGCTTGTATAGGTGATTATACCTCTGGGGAAAGGCTGACTTCTGTCCAATCTAGAGGTTCTCTCCTGGTGGGGGAGAGGAAGTGGTGAGGGTCTGGTGCACACAGAGGGCTTAATAGCTGATGTCTCTCCTCTCTGTCCTCTCCACTTATTCCTTCCATTTAAATCCTTATGTTCCTTCAATTAATGTTTCACTATGGTTGAAGATATTGAGTATAAACAGCATTCAGGTGTCATTCCTTGTGTCTCAGGAGAATGACGTAACTGTAAAATGAAATACAAAATCAGTTATGAGATGAGAGCTGAAATTTGCTGCTGATTGTCGGAGGTGTGAACATTTATTAAAGTTTTCGTTAGGATGGGGGAATGAAGGCGACGCACACTGGATGGAACATAAGAAGCAGTTACCCAGGGCCCAAGGTTAAGAGGGAAGGCTTGTCCTGGTGCAGCTGGGCATTTCAGAACCACGGACAAGGCCACGGGTGCAGTCAGAGGGCTACAGGCACCATCAGCCACCCCAGCTCCAAACATTGGGCCAAACAGGTGTCCCTCTAAATCAAATATGTCCCAAATAACGTCCGCCCCCTCCCCCCATCTCAAACAGTTAAAAACAAGTGCAAGGAGAACCCATGCGTCCATGGAGAATGCCTCATTACTCAGCAGCCTCCCTACTACCGCTGTGCCTGCAAGTACCCTTACACGGGGCCAGATTGCTCCAGAGGTGAGTAGCCGAGGCCCTTCTATACAGAATGTTTTCTCTGGTCTAACCAGTGCCAGCAGTGTATACATCGCACCTGTGTGGAAATGTGAATGTTTCTGCAGTTTTCATGGCATGCAAGATAGCTCTCTTAAATAGGATTTTTTAAAAAATGCATCCGTCCATGGGGAATTCATTGTTATATGTTCCTTCCCATCCCCTGAGTCACTTTGGAACATGCTTCCTCTGGGAAGTAGGTGCTAATCTATCCCTGAAATGTGCTGTATCAAGGAGCTGTGTATTGAGTCACTGCTCTGAGTAGGACACCATCCCAAGAGATTTATTTCCTCTCCTACATTCCTCCTTTAACAATTCTGCAAGGGAAAGTTTTGTAAATGAAGAAACTGAAATTCAGAGACGTTAATTAACTTGTTCATGGTCACATAGCTTTCAAGGGTACAAATGTCCAGCTCTGTCTATACCTTTTGCTATCCTTTATTCTGTGACCCATCTATTTTTTTTCTTTTTTGTGTAACTTCATTCTGGTTGATAGATATTCTTTGAGTTTATGTTACAGTTGCTAGGGTGTCAGTGGGTCTGTCTTTCCCATTTGGTAACCTGGCTTTTTTTTGGATTTTTAAAAAAATTATTTATTTAATAACCACATGATTAGAAGAGGCATTTCATTACCGCATTAACATATTAACAGTTTCCAGAGCAAAGATGCATCTCTTTCAATATTGGCTGTAAATTTTTAGGTTCACAGTTGAATTAATAACAGTTATACAATATTGAACTCAGTATGAACCCTATAAGACATAGAATTGAATGAGGTTTTAACCTTTGAAAAAGATTTCCATTTCATTTTAAAATATCCTGTTTCATACAGAAAAACTCATTTTAATGCTACTAACACTTAGATGTTTGCACATGCGTCTCTAATCTCCGTATCTGATTATTACTAGTCACCATCGGTTACTTGCTGAGATCCACCTGAGCATGGATATAAAATCATTGGGTAGATTTCAATGATAATGTGTTTCACCTCTACTAATTAACATGGAGCAAACTTTTATGCTTCTTCCTCAAATATAGCTTTTTTATTGTTGATTTTTTGTGTGTATTTCATATAGAACATCCCAAACAATCTTATTCATTTATATACCCACTTCTCAAATGGCACCCTCCCATAGCCTCCCCCTCCAATGGAGCCATATACTCTGTCATCCCTGTTACTGTCCCCTGTGTTGTCAGTGCCCCCAGCCGTTCCCCAGTGCTTGTCCATTTGCTGAATCTAGTCAGCCTATCTAGAGATCCTTGTTTTATGAAGATCAGCTGTTCCTCATCTAGCAGCAATCAGTTGTCAATATTCCTTTAGATGAGATTGGGGTCTGCTGTTCATTTTCCCAGTTCTGTGCTGGGTTACTGTCTGGGAGTCTCTTGGGTTACCCTGGCCAGCAACTCAAAGGAAGGTATCTCCTGTCTGGCATTGTTTCTTGTTACGTAGCTTTTAGCTATATACATGGACTCTTAATTATATTGATCCCTTCAATCTTTGGTTATACTTTCCTTTTGGGTGTTTAAGACCATACAGTTGGCCCAGATAAGCCAACTCTTAAGTTCATTTGAGGCTCTGTCCCTCAGGGGGGGTGACCTGACTTTTGATGACACCAGAAGAGTGCCAAACTGTGAGGTGGGGGGAGCTTTACCTCCTTCTAAAATGTCCTCTGGCCCCACTTCCTTCATCCACAGTACTTTCAGCATGCAAGCTGAATCCCTGCCAGAATGGTGGTACCTGCTCCCGGCACAGACGAAGGTCCAGGTTCCGCTGTGCTTGTCCTGACCAGTACAGGGGGAGATTCTGCGAAATAGGTATGAGTCTCCACTTCTTCAGACCCAGGACGAGTGAGACTTTTGAAGTCCTTTTCTACTGTTACTGCTCCTGCACTCTTCCAACCCAAGAGCACAGATCACATTTGAATTCATGTAAAGGTGATGGTCTGCAGTGTAGTGCAGGTGAATCAGACACACCAGGGCACCCCAGTTCCTGAGCCACCCAGTTCTTTTGTAAGCAAAAAAATAAGTACCAACTTTCCACCCACCTCTTCAACTAGGATTTCTCATATTTTAAAGCTGGGTTGAATGTAGAACATTCTGGAACTTTGATGAAACCTGAAGGTAATAAATATTCAGGCCCAGTTCTAGCACCCCTTTGATATACCCATCTAGACTTCTTGGGAGCAATGTGTCCATGGCTATTAGTTCTCACAAGTGACCTGCTCTCTCCGAGGTCCGGATGACTGCTATGTCAGTGATGGCTACTCTTACCGAGGCAAAGTGAGTAGGACGGTCAACCAGAACCCATGCCTTTACTGGAATTCCCACCTCCTCTTGCAGGAGAATTACAACATGTTTATGGAGGGAGCTGAGACCCATGGGATTGGGGATCATAACTTCTGCAGGTATGCGTGACCTTTTTCTGTAGGAACCTTCTTGGTTGCTTGATTTCTAAACAGATCCTTGAAACTCAGCAGCCTTCTTTCTAAGGGGATTAGCTTACTGGGTATAGGTGAGGTTCTGCTGCTGTAACAAAAATAACCCCCAATTTTCAATGGCTCACATGCATCAACATTCATTTCTTATTAATGCTATATGTGCTATATGGGCTGGGGGTGGTGATGGTGGAGGGGAGTCAGTTCCACCAAGTTTCTCAAATACCAGGAAGGATAAGAACACTTTTTGGAAAATGATGCATTTTAAAAATAAAAGACTTCTGCAACCTAGAAGTGGCATTTTACCTCTAACAAGTATTTCCTGGGTCAGAAGTAGTCATGTGATCCCATATAACTTCAAGAGAAAAGCAGAAGAGGAAATGGACTGTCTGGTAAGCATTATGATTTCTGCCACAGAAGGTCAGGTGCTCCCAAGTAAAAATAATACCAAGACCCTCTTGGGGATGACTATCCTTTTCCTTGCCCCCTCTTCTGTCTTCAGACCACTCTGTTAGTTCCCTCCCTCCACCCTCTGTCTAACCAAGGCCAATGACTTAGTGACTTACATGTAGAGAACAAGGGTGCTTTGCATGGCTTTGGGCTGGCTCCATGAACAGAGGATTTGTTTCACACAACACCAGTTCCTTTCTTCTTATATGCATTGTGAGCTGCTCCCTTGTAGAACTGTCTTCCTGTGGGGACTTCTTGGCAACTTCTCAGAGTTCCATGCCTGGAAAGTTTTGGCCAAGAATTCAGCTCCCATCATGTCTATTGATCCATCTACTTCCCTGACACAGTCTTCAGTAAGGACCTTAGCTCTCCCACGAACAGTTTCATTGTCCTATGGGTCTGACACAGGCTTGTGAGCTACATCCTGGCCCCTGAAATTCTCCTCTAGATGCTAAGATTTTGCCAAAACTCTGACAATTCTCTCATGCCCAAGGTTTGCAACCTGTTGAAGGATTCAGATGGAGAGTGTTCCTAGAGAAGTGCAAGGACTAGACATCCTTTTTTTGTGATTCAGATGCTTCCATGACATTAAGGCCTTGATGCTCAGTTGCTTTTAAAATTTTGTTTTAGAAACCCAGATGGAGACCACAAGCCCTGGTGTTTCATTAAAGTTGACAGTGAAAAGGTAAAATGGGAATACTGTGATGTCACAGCCTGCCCAGATCCAGGTAAGTCCAAAGGTCCTGGGGTGGAGAGGTGATGTTCCTGGCACTTGACCCCTCTCATCCTGCACCTTCTTCCACCCTTGCTTTACCACCATATTATCACTCCAGTCCTGTTCAACCCTCATGATGCTAAACAAGCTTAGATAGCACTGTCAGCTCAGGGCAGATGGTCCAGCTCTAAACTCATCTTTCCTGACTCCAAGTCAATATATTTAGCATCTGTGCATTTATTGTTTGCTGTGTGCCAGGCATTATGCCAGGACCTAGGTGCACAATGATAATCAGCATTGACTGGGCCCTTGCAGCCTCTCAGGATGCACCATGGTCTGAAGGTCAGCCTCCTGGCTTCCTGAAAGGCTTCCCTGGCCCACTTCTGTGCCCATACCTGAAAGAATGTGCTCACCTCTCTGACCAATGAAATTCCCTCCATGACCTGTTTTATACATGTGCCATTGCTCTTGTGGTTGTCAGTCTATAACACTCTATCCCATATCTGCTTTTGCCCATTTTCAGCCTTTCTTTGCGAACTGACTCAAGTATCCCTTCCTCTAAGAAGTCCTCCTTGGTCTCTTGAATCAAGTGTTATCTATCCCTCTTTACAAACCCAAGGAACAGAACAAAGCCAGATCCATAGAACACTTTCCACTCCTTCTTGTAGCCAAGTTTCATGGGAGAATCTCTTATCTCTCTTCTCCCTCATCTGAAAAAATAAATACAACTTCAAAACATAATGTATGCACATTAACGGTGATGTGTGCAGTAATGGTGTGTGTGAAGTGTGATGAATGTGTATATTTTGTGCATATACTTGTAGATCCTAGGAGTAATACAATTCAAAATAATATAAAAGTGGTATCTTTATCATGAATTCTATGGACTTGCTTTTAATTAATCAAGCTATCCAACAAACATCAATCACTCACTAAATTACATATCCACAGCATTCAGTCTCTAAGCTCTGAACACTTGCTTGGCTTGTGGGTTCAGAGTCATGTCTTCAACTAGGTCCTCGGAGGGATTAGAAGGAGGCTGACATAGATGATTGATCTTCACATATCTTGCAGATATTACTGACCCAGAAGGAAGCCTTCCGGAGCCTGTGGTGGAACTGCCAGGGTTTGACTCCTGCGGGAAGACTGAGATAGCTGAGCGCAAGGTTAAACGCATCTATGGAGGCTTTAAGAGCACAGTGGGCAAACACCCATGGCAGGTGTCCCTGCAGACCTCGCTGGCACTGACCACCTCCATGCCCCAAGGCCACTTCTGTGGGGGCACACTGATCCACCCCTGCTGGGTGCTCACTGCAGCCCATTGTACCGAGTAGGTGCCCACTGGGAGCAGGGAGCAGTGTGGCTGGGGTGCAAACAGGCTTGCCTCTTCCCAATGTGGCATCTTGGCAGCTCTGGCAGGATTAGGGTAAATGCACCAGAGGGGAAATAGCAGTTCCTTAAATGGAGACAGTGGGTACCAGGTCTAGAATGCACACCACGGACATTGACTACATTGAATCACGTTTAACTTGCTACCAAGAGACAAGTCAGGGAGACCAGGATTTATGTGTTTTGTTAATTGTGGTATCCCCAATGCCTTCTGCAGTTCTTTCTACATAGAACGTGTTTAGTAAATATCTGTGAAGGTTAAGGCATATTGTTTTTTCCCTTTTAATAAAGAGGGCCAGGGTCTTGATACGTTTTAGCACCTTACCTAAAGACTTGTAAAAAGAAAATAGGCGAATGGAATTGAATTCAGATCCCTGTTTCCTAACCCTCTGTAGTCCTGCCCCAAATAGGGCAAAGTAACTCATCATCAATGAAACTCCAGGTCAAATGTCCTCCGTCAGGCCCCCTGTGACTTCTGGGAGCTGAAAAATCACCACCTCCCCCAAGTTCCCTAGGTTCATGGTCAGGGCTGCTCCCGTGAGCCCTAGCTTAGGAAATAGCCCGGCAGGTCTTCTAGTCCACTGTATCATTAAACTTGTCCCTCTGGGATCCTATCACGTGCTCCCCAAGAGAAGTCAGGCATGTGGACACTAGCAACCACTGATGCATCTCAGCAGATCTGTTCAAGACCTCAATGGCTGTCCTTTAGCTAAGCCCAAAAGAAAGAGAAGTCTCCCAGCAAAAGTGGGATGAAAACAGCAGTGTGTACCTGGAGTCTTCTTCCACTAATAAAGAAATTCCCTTACACTGTTTCATTTGGAACCCACAGCAGAGTTCTGTGAGGGAGACAAGAACTGCAGATAAGGATGCTGAGGCGGAAGGCCAGGGGGTTCACCAGGGTCACATGATTTTTTTGGAGCAGAACTCCTGCCTCTGACATCCCAGGGAAATTTCCTGTCTTATTTTCCCTTGTAGCATAAATGCTAAGCATATAAAAGTCGTGCTAGGGGACCAGGACCTGAAGAAGACAGAATTTCATGAGCAGACTTTCAGGGTAGAGAAGATCCTGAAGCACAGCTGGTATAACGAACAAGATGAGGTTCCCCACAACGATATTGGCAAGTCTCTCCTGGGTCTCCTGTAGTCTTGTTCTGGGTAGATATCTCCACTGATGCAAAGCTGGGGTTTGGGTCTAGAAGGCGCTCTTGATTATTTGGGTCCTTTATGGACCCTGTAGGGTACATAATCTCTGTCAGAGCTTTCTTTTTTTTTTAGTGTCTTGAGAGTGTATGTTAGCACTGTAGATACATATGTAAAACTTTTTGATTGAAGTGAAGAGAGGTGAGGAATATTGTATCATGAAAGTCCTCAGCCTTGAATCCCAGTTCTCCTGTTGGCTAGTCAGAACTCAGGTCGCCTTCCTGATCCTCAGTTTTCTGTTCCATACAATAGGGATGCTATTACATAATTCTTGGTTGCTTATCTGTTATGACACAATGTTTATGTGGGTGGATATGTGTGGTACCTAGTGGATGCTTAGGTACAGAGGTGATGCTGTTCTAAGCAATTGCTCAGTTCTGTAGCACTGTGCCCTGTTACCCCTTTGTGGGATCTCTTTCTCTCCCTACTTCCCCTCTTTCTCCACCAATAACTCCTTCCCTTATAACCCATTAAAAAAATGATTTGGGAATGATTTTGAATCCCATCACTGCTGTTGATTGTTGATCTTCTTCTCACCCTGGTTTACCCCGCCCTGGAAGTTTAAAATGGGACGTGTAGAATAAGAAGTTTTCATTATATGTGGAGGGGCTGGGCATTGCTTGCTAAAACCACCTTCCAAAGCAAGCTGAAGCCAATGCTTCTCTGACCAAGAGATGACATCATACCTGCTTCCCCTCTCCCTGTTCCCCCACTCCCTTTCTGTCTCATTCAGCATTGCTCAAGTTAAAGCCAGTGGATGGTCACTGTGCACTGGAATCCAAATATGTGAAGACCATATGTTTGCCCAGTGAACCCTTTCCCTCTGGGACTGAGTGCCACATCTCCGGCTGGGGTGTGACAGAAACAGGTGAGTTTGGCCATGTGTTCTCCATACATTCAGGAGAGTTACACACAGCTCAGAGATAAAAGGGCCAACCCCATCTGCTCTTCTGTTCTTAAGTTAAAATATATTCAAAACATATTATCAAAGAAAGTATCTGTCTCATTGTTTAAGTTCTAGTTGAATGTAACCATTTGCATGGAACTTTCCCTAGTTGTCCCTGATCTCCATAATCTTGTTCCCTAGTTGTCCCTGATCTTGTCCCCTGCCCTAGATGCTTGACCTTCCACAAGCATTGATTGAATACCAATAAAGACCTCTTTCCTTCCCTGATTAGCTTGCTAAGAGGCTGGCCATGATGTATATGTGGCCCTGGGTGGTGCCTGGTAGGTGATCAGGGCAGAGATTTTGTTCCTTAAACAGCTCAGTTTTACTTATCAATAGTTATATTTACCTCCAAGGTTTGGAATTATGAACACCAAAATTACACCGTTAAATACAAAGAAATTCAGAAGAATATTTTCAAGTCTTTCCCAAACACTCAAAATATATTTGTCACCCCTACTTATATTATCCTTAATAATGGAAAGCAAAAAAAATTACTTTAAGTAGGTCTGGATTCATGAAATAAAATGTACACTTTTGCCAGAGGCATAGGGGAAAGGAAATCTCTGACTAAGGACTGAGGGTTGACCAGAAAACTCTTTTTGTAGCCCTCTTTGTTATAGTCCATCTAAGTCTTTCTACTTCTTCTACTTCCATCTCCTTAATAGGATCTGCTCAGCATGGTGATGCCTTGGTTGGAAATCCTACAAGGCCTTGGGTTAGATGTCTTTGTTTTTCTCAAATAGTCCTCTAAGCCTTTATGTTCAAAGTTGAAGATGTTTTAATTAATTTCATTATCTTTGAGCAGTGGATGTCTTTTCTAGGAAGCAGGTAATTTATTGTGCCAGGGCATTTCATCCATCCATTCTTCTGTCTATCCATGCATCCATCCATGCATGCATCAGTCCATCTGTCTATCTATGAAACCATCCATGCATTAATTTATCATTCATCCATCTGCCCATCCATTCATTCATTCCTTTAGACTACTATGTGTTAACCCATCTGCTAGGCACAGGAAATTTAAAGATGGTTAAGATGCATCTCCACTTCCAAAACCTCATAATCTAGTTGGGGAGACAGAGGATGGAGCAAATGATTTTGTCTCAATGTGATCAGTGCACTGCAGGTCTGCACAGGCCTGGGGGAAGGATGCAGGAAAATGGTCCTAGTGTTGGAAGACTGGCCTTTTCTTTCCTTCTGGAAAAATCTTTTTCCTCTGAGCTGAGAGTTGCTGGTATCTTACTACTTGTGGATTCTAGTAGAGTGGGTGTCACTTGGTCCCCACAGTAGTGGCTCATTTCTCTCCCACAGGAGAAGGGTCCCGCCAGCTCCTGGATGCTAAAGTCAAGCTCATTGCTAACAGTTTGTGCAACTCCCGCCGACTCTATGACCACATGATTGATGAAAAAATGATTTGTGCAGGAAACCTACAGAAACCTGGGCCGGACACCTGTCAGGTCAGAGACTCCAGATGGCACTTGGGGGCAGAGAAAATTATGAACACAGAGGCCTGTTAAAGCCTTGACATAGGAACCAGGGTCAGAGGGCTACCTGCTTAGGTACTGAGGCAGAGGCGGGCAGACTGGAGTCCACAGGAAGCCAGGGTGAGTCAGTGTAATAATTAGAGGGGCCATGTTGCTTTCATTGTGTACTTTAACTCTCAGAGCATCTGCTGAAGGGGACGCCACCATCACATATTACAGAGGCTTAGAGATGTCATCAAAGCCAATAACAAAAGGACACTAAGTGGTGAAGCTGATATTTGAACAACAAAAGTCTTTAGGACTCCAAAGTCTTTGCTGCTTAGCTCCACTGTCCTAACTTTTGGGACCCCTGCCCCAAAGCTTCTGAGGTCTGTGATGACTCATAGATGCTGCTGAAGAGAGGAAGTGGTAGTTCCATCAACTCTATCAACTGGTACTAAGAGGACTTCAGGCCCCTATCCTAAGTCAAAGCCCATGCCCATAGGCCCTTCTCTCTGCAGGGCTTATGTCACACAGGACCCATCCTTCCTGGACTCCCAGGACCACGTCATCTTAGGATTTTCTGTCTGTTGTACTTACAAACCACCCAACTGTCCTGCCACTTTCTGATCCTAGCCCACAATGGAGCGTCCCTACAAAGGGGCCTCCCAAAATAACTATTCAGCTTTGAGCCTGCCTGGGATTTGAAATTGAGATTTCTCTCTCTAGAGTCTGAGGCTCTGCTCTGACCCTTTGTCTCGCCCTAAGGGGCCATGGAGAACCACATATTCAGAGGATGGGAAAGAGCAATGGGTGTGGTTTTCCCTAATCCCTGGGAAGTTAAGTAAAAACAAAGTTTGCTTAGTATTCTACACTAGAACTATGTCAAGAACTACACTGAAAGGCTTTGGCTTCTCATAGTCATGGGTTTGAAACCTGCTTCTGTCTCGTGTTATATGACCTTCATTAATCACCGAAGGGATTCCACAACCTCAGATGCCTAAAGTGACCATAAGATGATAAGGTAGTGGTTAAGATCAGGAGCGAGAATTCATTTGATTTTTCCTGTTAACTGCAGTTTGTAAGCAGGTCTGCCCTCAACTTTTCTATGAAATGCTTAATATGAACCAGGCCCTGTTCTGTGTACATCACAAAGAATCTTCACAGTTTCCCAGGGGGAGGTTCTATGGCCATTCACAATTCACACTTGAAATCAAGACCTGAGGTCACATGGCCAACAGGCATTAGAGCCTCAATCGGAGGTCAAAGGAGCTAACCCCAAAGCCCAGGTTGAATGTATAGGCCATACTGCTTCTGAGTCCCTGTCTTCTTCCCTGTATGTGGCTCTGTCCAAACAGGGCATCACCCCTTCAGTAAGATGCCAGAAAAAAGATGCGGGTCCCTGGGAGCTGGCCATGGTAACACCATAGAATTGAAAGTCAGGAAGTCGAGTTTGCCCACAGCAGCAGCCCTGAACTTCCAGGCCAAGCTTTTCCAGACTCAGGAACCAAAGCTGATATTAGCTTCTCTGTCTTTGGAGCTTTGCATTATGGGAAGATCAGGAAGAACCTTGGCACTGATTTCTGGAGAAGCCCAGGGTAGCTGGCAAGTAACTGTACCTGTCACCCTTTGGTACAACAGATGGGGAAATCTTTGAATGTAATGGTTCACAAGGCTGAATTCAAGTTGCTCTTCCCTTAGGGTGACTCTGGGGGCCCTCTAACCTGTGAGAAGGATGGTATTTACTACGTCTATGGGATTGTAAGCTGGGGCCAGGAATGTGGAAAGAAGCCAGGAGTCTATACTCAAGTCACCAAGTTCCTGAATTGGATCAAAGCCACCATGCAAAGGGAGGCTGGCTTCTGAGGTGCTGTCTTCTGAGTCTCAGAGCCCCTTCATCCTCAAAACTGGGTAAGTGGGACTTCCTGAGCAGCCAAGGATGCCCCTTCAGGCCCCAGAAGGCCATGTCACTGAGTGTTCATGCTCTGAGAAGAGACAGGACTGCCCTGCCTGGGCCTTGCTACACTGGTATTTGTACCATTTCATGATGCTCCCTGTCCCCCTCCCATTAGGAACCAACAGGAAAAATACTAGCTTTGCTTCTCTTCCAATAATTGTACCTCCTAGAAATCCAGAATTCAGAGACTGTCTCCCCTTTGGACATCTGTAAATGTGGGATTGCCGGAATGCCCAGCACCAGGGCATGCCACCTTGACTGTTTACTCCTTGGCCCGTGCCAGCAAGGCTCTCCATAGAACCAGCCAGTCTCATCCAGGCATCAGAGAGAAGATCCAAAACACAAACGTCTCCATTCATTTTCAGAGTTGTTATTTTAATAAAGGTAGAGATAGAGATGGGGCTGGTGTGTCATTTTTAAACTGCTTGTCCAGACTGAACCATAGAGCCCTGCCTCTGGCAAGCAACCTTTTACTGTGGCTTCTCTCAAGGATGTGAGTGGAGGCTGCTCACTCACATCAGCAGAGCCTTCTTCCTGTTGACATGCAGAATCTCGAAGGCATCTGGGTTCACCTCCCTGCTCCGATGGTCCCCAGACTCCACTGTCTCCGGCCCTCCCTGCAAAAATCACACATACCCCCCTGAGTTCAAACAAAGCTCCTCCCTGCTCCCACAAGCCGTGCTAAGATGCCCGGCAAACATCTAACATGTCCACCCTCCCCTTCTTTGTCCTCTCTTCTACCCTGCCCAAGAAGAAGGACCCTCAAGGCAAAGATAAGACAGAAGCAAAGCCCATGTCTCATTTAGATGTGGTGTCTCTCTTTTGAACAAAGTAGGGTTCAAAATGCAGACTGTTAGAGCCAGCAAGTCCCTGACCCTTTCCGTGCATGTAACGAGCAAGCAGTCAGCACAGCCTGGGCTGCCCTGGCCCGGGATTGATGTCGCCCTGGTGGGTTTGCTTCTGTAGAACTAATGGCTGTGACTTCAGAGAAAACCCCGCAGGAAATTTAACCCGTGTGTCATCCACCCGGTCATCTCAGACCCATGAAATTAGGCGCCTTGCTCGAGCTGTGTTTCACACTTCTTTAGAGCAAGCTGACCTTTGGCCAAAAATAAACTTTGAAAAGCAACAATGAGTTTGTATTTCCCGTGGTCTTGCAAGGCAGGGTGCAGTTTGCTGCTTGGTACTCACATAAGCCCCCTGGAGACCCAGGCCCCGAGCGTTGGCCAGTTCTGCAGCCCGCCGAGCCATCTCCACCTTGTAGGAGCCAGGAGGGGTCCAGCCAACACCTCGGGTCAGATTCAAGTCAGATTTGTACTTGACCTTGGGGGAAGGAGTAAGTGAGAGGAACATGTCAGCAGGGTTTGGGGACTTTGACCACTTAGTGAGTAGGATTTAAAAGGCAGCAAGGAGATGCAGACTACATTGTCAATCAGTAAAGTCCAGACTAAGAGAGCATCTTGTGAAACAGGGTCCCGGGCAGAGGGCTCGCTGTGCAGTGAGTGAGCTGCGGCATCAAGCAGCCACAGGTTGGAAGTGTAGTTTGGTGGTAGAGCACTTGCCTAGCGTACACAAGACCTTGGGTTCAATCCTTAGCACAGCAAAAAAAAAAAAAGCTTGTATCTCACATTCAGTACCCTAGGTGTGGTACTTATTTGCTGTGTGGTCTTAAGTTACTTAACCTGGGTCTTGGGTTCCTTATCTATAAAGTAAGGCTATACTGGGCTTGTAAGGAGTACATGGCACAGCGCTTAGAAGACATTTGCCACAGGTGTAGCCCATAGTAGAGACAAGGTAATGACTGTCATTATGCCTGCTTAGCTCTCCCAGAAGGCAGCAGGGAATATATTTAGGTAGCTCACATCACTCTGAAGCTGGTGGGCCTTCTGAGCATGCTTCAGACCCAGCTGCTCCGGGTCACTGGTGTGCTGAGGCAGGGGCTGCCTGTAATGCACATCACTGGCCAGTTGCTGGCTCCTCTTGGCCCGGAGAAAGCCAGGCTGGTCTGTGTGGCTGTGGAACTGGGAGCGACTCTTGGAAAAGTCCTTCTTGTACTCGTTGTCACTCTGGAGCTTGCCGACATGGAGGAAATGCCTCATCCTTGGGTCATCATTGATGCTGCGGTACCCAATCTGCATACCCCGGTCCCGCAGGAACGCCTCTTTGTACCGGAACTACAAGTCAGAGAGGCAAAGTGAGTTGATGGGGGCCCACCTTCCCTTTAGGTCCAGCTTCCCCAGAAGGGTCAGAACTCAGGATTCTCAATAGGAACCTCAACAGTGGATAGGGGTACAAGCTTTGGATTCGAGTAAACCCAGCTGTGTGGTCTTGGGTATGTTGTGGAGCTTCTCTGAGCATCTGATAAAATGAGAAAATGAATCTCCACCTCATGGGATGTTGAGCGAATCCAATGAGATGGGACTGAGCTTCAATTCACGCCCACTGGTGTCACTACTGTAATTAATATTCCAACAGGAATGGAAGTGTGCCCATTTTCCCTTCCATCGTCCCCAGCTTTCAGGGGCCTAGTCTAGTGCTTCTCAAATCACTTAAGGTGAAGGATTTAGTCACTTTTACGTAGCCCAAGTTATTTTTATTTTAACGTTGTGTGCACAGTCATGTATGTGAGTATGGGCACATGTGTACCACCACATACTTGTGGAAGACAGAGGACAACCTCAGGTGTCGGTCTTTTCCTTTGAAATGGGATTTCTTGTTTGCTGCTGCATAGGCCAGGCCAGCTGACCAGTGGGTTTCCAGGGATTCTCCTGTCTCTGCTTCTCATATCACATAGTATAGTGGGGTTTCAGGGTACACTACTGCATCTGGCTTTACATGGGCTCTGGGAATCCAAACTCAGGTCCTCATTCTTATGGGACAAGTGCTTGTACAAAAGGTTCTTTACTATAAATTAACCAGCCAATCAGAAGTCCCCTGGCGTCCAGGTGTTCACTGATCAATTGTTGAGTGCTTCTCCCAGAAGAGGTATTGAGATAAAACTCTTTCCAATCCTAAATTTCTGTCTAAGATTCCAGCAAAGAGGCCTGTGTCCTCTTTCCTTTGAAATATGTGTTACATTTTAGTATGAAGAAAGACAGTCTGACAGTCCAGTGTCTATCTTGTGCCTTTCAGCAGCGCTTGGCAAACTAGTTAAAACTCTGACAGCCACCGACAGAGCTTGGGGGTCTTACATCACTGGCGATATCCCTAGACACCCGTGCAGTCTGGAACGGGATGGCATCCAGCCTGAAGTCATAGCCACCAGCCCGGTTCTGCTCCCAAGAGTTCCTGTAGACTTTCTGGATTGAGAAAACAAAAGCCATAGGTAAGCAGAGAGTAGATCTACTGCCTGTGTGTTATTTGGTCTCAGAAGGAATTATTTTCCCGTGATATCAGAGCCTATGGCCTCCCTGAGATCTTGGGAACTCCCCAGGTCTAGGGTAACAGGCCATAAAGGGTTTCTGCTCTTAAGGAGCTGTGGTCTGTGAGTCTAGCTCACTTGTTTCATCCTGCTGTTCTTAGCGGCCTCTCACCATCCTCCCTGTCTCTGGACTCTCTTTCTCTCTCTCTCTCTCTCTCTCTCTCTCTCTCTCTCTCTGTCTCTCTCTCTCTCTTTCTCTCTCTCTCTCTCTGTCCAGGATTTGGGGGCTCCCAACACCAGAACTTGTTTCCCACAGGCTGCTGTTCTGTGGATCTTGTCACCTAGTTCTACTGAGTCCCTGGGGTAGGAGGCTCAGTTTAGCTGATGCCTCACACCACCCTATCACTAGGAGGCATGTTATACCTCACATACACTCCACACCTGAATTAAGTGAATTGTCAAGACCTGGCAGGCACCTGACCTACATGTTTCTATCTTTCCCTTTCATTTTATTCCTCCTTTCAAGTTGTTCTCACACCCCCTCTGGGGGTCTCTAATCATATCCTCTGTGTCCTCAGGTACAGCCACATCACTGATGAAGGCATCAAAATTTTCTGTGCCTTCGTGTAGCTGTTTGTTTTTTTGTTTTTTTTTTTTTCCAAGATAAGGCAATGTCTCCATGAAAGGAGTCCTTGGGAGATCCCAGTGGAAGCTCTCCTTTATTCAGCCTCAGAGAAGGAGAACATCAGGAAAGCCACAGCACCAACAGATGACAAAGTGACAGTCCCAGACTGTGACTGTCACTCACTCATTCTGTGAGCTGCAGCAGGTCAAGGCCCCCTTAAGAATCATCTTTTTGTCACCTGGAGTGGAAGTCAGGACTGCTTATGGTTCTGCCGGGGCTTGGGGGAATTAAACAAGGAATGAAGGACAGATGAAAAGCAAGGTGCTGAATTGCTCCTACCCTGGGCCTGGCACTGGAGGGGACCATGGGCCAAGCAAGGTGGATGTCATCATCTCTGTGTGTGACTGCCATTGTTATAAGTACCTTCACCATGACCTCCAACTCCAACATCCAACACACAAGCCAAATGCACAAGGCTCATGAAACACCCAGTCCTTGCTTGGAAAATCACCTAATTGATATCTCGCAGACAGAGGCAAAATGCTTAGATTTACTGGCCACCATTGAGTTTAGCAGCTAAGGCTGAAAGATACACAGGAGAGGAAGAGACAGCCAAACAGTACCCCATCAATAGTTCCTTCTAGCAAACTGCTACCTGTTTTGATGACCCTCCAAAGCCAATCAGTACCCCATCAACAGTTCCTTCTAGCAAACTGCTGACCCTCCAAAGATATCGGAGTACAAAGTAGAGACAACACCCCTAGTACTTTCTATGAAGGGGACACAGTGCCTTCCTGATAAGAGCCTCCACCCAAGATCTGGGTCAGTTAATGGCACCAAACTTTACATAAACTTAAAGTTCAACATCTGCCTGTGTGGGCGACTGATGCACTTGAGCATCAGAGCCTGGGTAGTTCAGGGTCACCTGTAACCTGAGGTTGTCTCCAGGATGCCTGTTCTCTTCCTCCTGGTTCCCCCCTCAAACACACACACTATTTGCTTGCTTGTGATTGCTTCCTCCAGAGCATTCTATGCCGTTGAGGTTTTTGCCTTGCCACTGGGATTCTTTAGATTCCGCAGGCGCTTTGATTCGGAACCCTGGGCGTTCCTCTTCTTGATCACAGTGGGCACAGTTTTGTCCTCATCCTCACATATTAGAGTCATTTTGATTTTGAGTTATTTCGGCAGCCTTACACATCTCAATGGCTTTCTTTGCTCAGGAAGGTCACTTTGCCTCCACATACTCCTCACAGAGCACTTGATCCAATTGTGCGGATTCCACATGCCCCTGAAGAAGTGCTTTTTCAAATGAGGTTCATGAGTTTTCCACACCCCCATGAGTCCTGGTGGTTAATTTCAGCTCTGGGACTCTGTAGGCTGTCCCCCCACCTTCCAAGAGCAAGCACATTTCCCTTGCCAGCCTGGGGTGGCCGTCCTCCTTGAGCTGGGACCCACATGAACTAGCAGTTTTATCCCAGTCTCTCGGCAGTGGTCCTCTGCGAGTCCCTCCAATGGAGGCTGGCCTCCCCATCCTTAGGAATTAATGAGCTGCACCTTCTATGCCATCTTTGCAGAGGGGGCAGTCCAGTTTCCCTAAATGGAGGCCAGCCCACCAGAGCTGCCGTTCTAAAATTATCCCTCGCACATTCCTCAAAAGCATCAAATGGTTCTAATAACTCATATTTACAAAGCACCAGTGCATTCACCGCGTGGGATCCCACAGGGCTTTACAACCGCAACAAACTAATACACAGGCTAACTAGAAGGCGCCTCTCTCCAACCCCTGCGAGGCAGCCACCTCTGGGGTGAACGGCAGCAGCTGTCGATCTGCACGCAGCCCCAGGACACAATGGCCAGGCCAGGGAGGGAAGAATGGCTGGACTCTGGGAGGCCGCTCGCTGCCCCAGGCCGACACACTCAGCCTGTGTTATTCCGATCTGACGGTGTCTTTTGATTCTGCCGCCTCTCTACCTGTTATCCTGGGATCACAGCATCGCTGGCTGAGCGGCTGCCTATTCTATTACAACCAGGGGCTTGCAACCCCTGCTAACAACAAGCCTGGGTTTAGGAAATAGTGTCTTGGTTATGCACGCAAAGGGCACACGTCCAAGGGAAACTGGAGAGTTGGAGGGCAGGGTTCCGCACACAAAAGAGCCAGTTGCACTGGGACAGGATGGGTTTTCAGGGACATCTTTCCAAACTGCAGGTGAGATGGTGCCATTCCATCTCTACGGTGTATCCCACTGAATGGCTAAGGAGCAGGGTCCAAGAAATAAACAGAACAGGTATGTCTAAACCTGCTGGAGACTGGAAACCACTCTCCTGAACATTACCCAGCGCATACTGAGGTCTCTGGAGCCTGCCTAAAATCAGAACTTCGTAGCTAGAAGAAAATTCAGTTTAGTTCAGCTCATTTTCTTCCTTTTTTACAGGAGAGAAAACTGAGGCCCAGTGAGGGAAGTGACAGAAAGCCTCACTGGCAATTCATCCCACTCCAGGTCCAGTGGTCCTTACCTTTCACATTCTCCTTTTTAGGCCTTAAAAAAAATCAATAAAATAAACTTTGGGCCCAGAAATGTTATAGAAACATACACATCACAGAAGCCCCACTTACGTCACTCAGGTGCAGTGCGTTCAGGCGGGCACGGGTGAACTCCGGGTGGTCTGGGATCAGGGTGAACTTGTGCAGGGACTCTGCATCCCCCAACCTGTACAGGCGCTGTGGGTGAGACAGCTCACAGTCAAGATAGAATCAATGTAGAATTGTACTTGCTGAAAACCCAGGTGAAAAGCAGCTAATTCCCTCCCTCAGCCCTCCCATCTGCTGGACAGAGTAGAACCAGCCCTGCTTTTAGAGAACTCTCTGCTGGGTGGAGGATGCCTATGTGGCCAGAGTCAGGTCAGGATGGACACTGTTAAAAATATTTGCTATGGTCCATTCCAAATGGGTCATAAAGACCTTGGTTGGCCACGTTTATGTGGTGTTTCACACTGCCTGGGATAGGCATGTATTTCTGAGACTCTGCAAGCCACTGCAAGTGCCTCCTGGTAGTAAGATACAACCTCAGGCCTTTGAGGCCCTGTTGTTCAGCATTAATCATAACAGCAATGTTACACACGGCTAATAAGCCTTTTTTATTATAAAATGTCTTAGCGTTTTTAAAAACTTGAGTTTTTTATAATTTACTCAGGTCCCACAAAGACACAATTGTGGTTGTTAGTCTTAGAGCAGTGATTCAGGCATTTTGAACAAGTTAGGAAGTGTTTGAACCCCATCTATTTTTAGAGGAGAAAATATCCTATTTTAATCCATTCCCAAATCCAATTTGGACTTTGAAGGCGAGAACTTGTCGGGACAGCATTTGGGCTCTGAGAGGATGAGCCAGCCCTATCTCTGCAGGAAAGGTTGAAACTCAACAATTCAGGGGAAAAACATACACGTAACTTCCTTTTCCTTGAAATACGTTACAGGAGAAGAAACAGGCCTAAATCATTCAGGGAAAAAAGTAACAGGAAGCTTTGAATATAACTGTTCTTTCTTTTTTTTCTACCTAGGTTATATTAAGCTTTTAATTCCATTTCCATCCATCAGCAATTAAGATGCCATCTGATCTCATGTTTAAAAAGGAGCCATCAATAATACTAAGTATTATGATTATGAATCAAACCATAATAGGCAGCAATTATAGAGGACTTACTGTGTTCCTGGTACTTGCTAAATTGCTTTATTTTCTTATACTTATTTAATCTTTATTTAATTCACTTAATTGTGCAAAATGATTACTGTCATTATCTTCCCAGCCTGTTCTTCCTTCAAATAAGGAGGCTGAGGTTAGAAGATATTAGCAACTGACCCACAATCACCCAGATGGAAGGTTTGCATTCTCATCTAGCACCAGGCCACAGAACCCCATGGCATGATCAGAGCAAGTGGGGTGGAAGAACTTACCTCGTTACAGTGCATGTAGCTGTTCTTGGCATGAACCAGGTCTGGGGAGTCAACCACTGTGGTGAACTTGATACTGTCTGGTTTTTTACGGTATTTGGTCTACAAGAGAAAGACCAAGAGTCCCATGAAACACGGGTAAACACCACTTCCATCTTCACCCCACGTTCTTAAGACCAATATGTGAATGGCAATGGCATTATCAGAGGACAAGTCACTCTATTTGATGGACACCTGACAATCAGAGCATGAGAAAGACCCAAGCTTTCCTTTGTGACCAATATTTACTCTCTCAAAGAAGGAGCTTCTTTCTATAAAAGGAATTCAGTTAAGGGGAACGTTGGCATCCATGGACCCTTGCTCAGACTCTGTCTAAGTAAGTTCTGTTACTAAGAAAACCAAAGATAGCAGAGCCCCTCTCAAGGGGATTCTAGAAGAGGGGTCCCCAGACCACTAGAGGTCCCCAGACCATCGGTCAGTTGATATTGCTGTTCCTGTGCAATTTTATCATCACCAGAAGCCAGGTGAGCGCTGTACCCTGGACCAAACTTAATGGGAAGACACAGATTCCTCCCAACACCAGTGAAAATAATGGGTCACGTATATATCATATTTACTGAGAAGCTTCTAATGTGTTTAATGTCTTTGACTCCCAGAAGTGAATTCAGTTGCAGGGAAATCTCACTGTGTTAGGTTTTAGTTGCAAATGGCCCCTGGGAATCCATCAGGCCTGGTTTCCTCTTGGAGGGATTTCTACTGTATAAATAGAGTCTCTCTTTAAAAGAAAATGTTAGGTTGTCTGTGTCACGTCGTAGGTCAAGCTGATGTACCTCGCTGATGAGCTCTCCAGCCTTCTTTGCACTCTCTATCTGGGGTGATCTCAGTGCCAGCCATCCTGTTCCCTTCATGCCCATCAAGTCTGACTTGTAGCGAAACTGCAGAGAGAAAGTCATAGGCTTTTGTCAGGACAGTGCCCACTACCATGAGGGCATTTCAAGAAGGTCCTTGTTTGTAACAGCCTGTATAATAACGTTTCATCCCAGCACTTCAGCATCTTTGTTGAGTGTGGATTCTGTACATAAAATCCAACTGTTTGAGTTTCACATTTGCTAGGAATAAAATAACAGAGCGTGGTAAGGTACAAGAAGGGCCACATTAACAGGACTTGAAGCTGATGGTGATGATTTCCATGGGCTATCGCTTAAAGAAAGAGCTATGTGCTCAAATCCAAGGATCAACTGGGATTATTTTGGTTCATTCTGCCAGTGAGGCAATCTACCACTTGCCAGACAGAAGCACTCTACACACCATTCAGCTGATCAAAGGGTTTTGAGCCCTGGATACAAGCTGCTGTAACTCAGAGCAAATCACTTTACCAAAACACAACTCAGTCTGTCACATTTGAAGGTCAAAACAATCCCTCTCGTGAAAAAACCTGGGAGTCCTCAGGGACAAGAGACCATTAGATTTTCATTCTTGAGATAGTGGCTGCGGAGGGGGCAGGAGTCAACTGCAGCAGGACTTTAAAAAACCAAAACAAATTGAAATATGACCAGCTAGCAAAAAGTAAGCTTTTCTAATAGGTCTGTGCCTCAGTTTACTTCCTCCCACTGTCACTTATGATGATTTGCTTATACTGTAAAGCCTTATTTTCTTTCTTCGTTTTACAGGCTCAGAAGATTAGGACAAACCACCATCCTGGGAGAAAATAAAGAGCAGCATTATGATGGTGGTTCTGATTGGAGCCCCCAAACTGTAAATTCTTATTAGGAGTCCTTGATCTGCGTACATCTGCCATCACCTGAACGCCTTTCTTCTCTTTATGGAAATTAGGTATTTTTAAAGGTGGTAAAAGCCTCTCTAAGGAAATCTGAAATTTGGATCTAAACGAAGTTGATGGCATTTCTCTAATTTAGATATAAGCTCTGCTGTAACGCAAAATATCGCTCTGGATAGCAGCCTCTCGGCCTCTTTAGCTCTCTTTCATTTCAGGATTCACAGTGCTCCTCACAGCTGGCCTCAAAGAGGGTCCGCTTCTGATCTACTGTCTGCTGGTTAATGCCCCTGTGCCAATTCCACACTGCTTTCCGAGTGGTGAAGGGAGGCATCACTCAGGCTCAGGAGCAGGTTTCAAAACCCCATGTCAGTAAGATTGCTTTTCATACAGCGATCTTTTCAGTCCACGCCAGCAACGCTTTTGCCTTCGACTCTGATAAAGAACAGAGAAAATTGGATAAATTTCTAAGTTGGGGAGAATAATCCTACGGGGCCTCTTCACAGCCAGGCCTTGCTCCTTTTAGAAGCGAGATGAAGTGGGGAGCGCTCTTTCAACTTGCCTTTTGTTGAGCTGAACAGTACGATCGCAGGTAAGTCAGAAAGCAAGATGCAGGTCCCCCAAAGATCTGACTGTGCCTCTGACTTTCTTATAAACAGATCGTCTATTGATATCTCAGCTCCTAGCCCAGCTTTGACTATTCACACAGACCCCAAAAACAACACACTGGCCCCAAACTTCGTGATAAAAGAAGGGAGAAAGGAAAGGAGGGGAGCTAAGAAGAGTCAACTACCCAAAGACAGTTTTAGAGACCGATTCTAAGATAAGAATAGACCATCTCAAACTGCCCAATTGAAGCTGCATGCCCATATAAGGTCTAGAGGCCACCTGAAAATTCTCACATGGGCTTTTCCCAACACCCCATTTTTGAGCACTGGGTTACAAATACTATAGCTGAAGCATCCAGTCCCTGAGTGATAACCAGTGTGGGACCCATGCAAGCAATTGTGCCCAGGAAGAACCTGGAAGAAAGGGAATATTTGTCACATAAATAAGAAACAGTATCATTACCCCTCATGCAGGCCTGGTTTAGACCCCATCATCTCAATGTGTGCTCCTTCCATCTTGAGAAGGAGAGGTTCTTATCCTCATTTACAGAACAATTTTGGTGATCAAATGATGATTTTGACTCTCAAAAGAGCTACGAGCTGCTGTGCTCTGGGTAAACTATGCTGGTAACCATCAAGGGCACAGACCAGAATACCTGGTTCATATCCAGCCACGCTTGGAAGCCAGAGAGACTGAACCAGAAGTCAGGGGATCAGAACCGGAAAACTTGCATCACTGCTTACTAGCTGTATGATCTTGGAAGAGTCATTTCCCTGTCAGTTTGTGGCCCTGGGCGGCTGACTGGTAATGGGTATCTTATTTATGCATCTGTAAAAATGAGAGTAAAACTTGCACCTACCTAGATATTAAATGGGATTGTGTAAAACACTTATACTAAGACCTGGCTCAGGAGTAGTGGTTCTATCCATTTTAGCTATTATTGTTGTTGTTGTTTCTGATGGGGGAATTAAAACCTGGAGAGCTTCAAGCATCAATCTGAGGTCGCCACACTAGGAAAGGGTGACACATGGATGTTTCAAGACTGCCGACAGCTCTGGTGTGAGATCATGCCAGAGAAGGGAACAGCACACACTTGAAAATGACAGGAGAGGTTATGGAAGTCACTGCCATGTGCTCATGATGGACATCCCCAGGTCAGTATGTACAGGGTAGCGTTAGCTTTGAAGGACAGCAGGCTTTGGGCATGACATCAGCAGTTATGGCTTCGTGGAGCTTAAGCGGAGGTCTGGGAAGCTCTTTCTCAGACCATTTGGCCTGATCTCATGCTTTCTTTCTGGCCAGGGTAAGGACGTACAGGAGAAGCTGCTCAGCTGGATGAACTCCTATTGAGAGGCTGGGGAGACAGCTCAGTGGTTAAGAGTCTGGCTGCTCTTGCAGAGGACTACACCAGTTGCCAGCACCCACATCAGCAGCTCACAACTACCTCTAACTCCAGGTCTGGGAGATACGATCTCTGAGAACACTGCACTCACATGGCACACACTCACTCACACACACACAAATAAAAATAAAATCTTTTTTTAAAAAAAGACTGAAGGCCAGATGTGGTAGCGCATACCTTTAATCCCAGCACTGGGAAGGCAGAGGCAGATGGATCTCTATGAGATCAAGTCCAGCCTGATCTACATAGTGAGTTCCAGGCCAGCTGAGGCTACAGGAAGACTGTCTCAAAAAGCAATACAACAATTTTCTACATAGCCCAGTCGTATGAGGTTTTGACAATGACTATAATAAAACTGACCCTGAAAATTATCACTGTTGACAATAGCTGGGATTCAGACTTCCCGAGCAACCAAACTGTAGACTAAAACTGTACACAGAGCACAACACGGTCATGGAAAACTGAAGCAATTATGTCTTAGCCTTCAGAATTCGAACAGAGATCCTGTGTTTAATGTCAGCATATGAACGCCAGGTACCGTTTTTAGATTATGTTACCTTTCTTTTCAGAAATAGTGACATAAATTATGTCTTCAGGTGGTATTCGGGTTTCTTTCCTTAGCAAAATAAAATCTGACATTATATTGATCCTATCGTTAAAAATTCTTATGACTATCAAAAGTCTGAGATGATGGATCAGATCAAGTCTTGCTACTTCTCTGATACTGAAATGGAGCTCAGGAAATGAGGTGACTGCTCCCAGTCACCCAGCCAGCAAAGGACAGAACCGGCCACCCAGCACCTGCCTTCTAGCTCAACTACAAAGCGCAATGAATAAATCACTAATAATAAGATCAGTATTACAATGATCAATAACCAATTTTGTGTTTATGATAGCCTACTTGCTGCCATTTATAACTGAGCTGAGTATCAGGCATTGCCTTGAAGGCAACCAGAATTGAACACTAGGGGAGAATTTATTAAAACACCTGTTTGTTCTACAATTCATGTGGACCAAGTATTGTGCTAAGTATTTTATAGATCGGGACTCAGCTGACAATTTGATTTTCAACCAGGGATCATTTTGCTCCCCCAGGAACATGTGGCAAAATTTGGAGACATTTTTGTTTGATGCTATGGCAAGCATAGACTCAAGACTAGGGAAGCTGCTAGATGTCTTTCAGTGCTCAGAACAAGCTTCCAATGTTTGGCCTAAGATGACACAAAGGTCAGAAGCCTTAGTATAGATGATGATGACCAACTGTCACAGACCCACAGGTTACAGTCTAAAATAGGAGTGTCTTTGTCTTAGAGTAGCTGTGAGGCCTGCAGAGATGGCAGGTGGTACCATGCCTGTCATTCTATGTGTCCTACACAAGCATTGGACATGAAAACTTTTCTGATGTTCCCATGCCCAAGGCTGGGTAAGGCAAGGGACATGTCCAAGCTCATACAGCCAGCACAAAGGAGTGGAACCACAGAAGTCTGGCTCCAGAACATTTCCACATGATGTAGGGGGAAGGTTGGTACCACTCTCCCCCAACTTGCTCTGTGTTTCCTTGGGGAAGGACTTCCCCTTAGAGGGCCTCTGGATCTATACCTGTATGATGCCCCTGCTCTAAGTTCCTTTCAACACAGCCACATGGTTCAGAGGGTGGGAGCTGAGTCAACCCTACTGTCTGTTCCTATCTGTAAATTAGGAATGAGTGTTCATGGGGTGGGGGTGGGGCACATGTGTGTGCAGGTGTGCATGCATGTGTATGCATATGCATGCAGAGGCCCTAAGTAGACATTGGGTACCTTCTCAATCACTCTCCACTTTATTTATTGAGGTAGAATTTCTCACTAAACCTAGAGCTTCCTGTTTTCTGGCTAATCTAGATAGTTCGCTTGCTCTAGGGATCCTTGTCTTTGCCTCTGAGCGATAAGATTACAGGTGACTGCCACACTTTCTAAGATCTTATGTGGTGTCTGGGGGTTGGAACTCTGGTCCTCACTCTTACATAGCAAGTCCTTTTTCCACTGAGCCATCCTCCCAGCCCTTAGTCACTTGCTTCTATTTGGCCTCAAACCTACCAAGACCACTTTTGGCTTATGCCCTCATCCTTGGAACTTGCTGTCCTGTTTGAATAGAATTCTCTATCCCTCTCTTTCCCTCTTTTAGTATGTAAGACACTTTGCTTATAGATCATGGCTAATCTCCCTTTAAGGTAATGGTAGTTCCACAAGCATAGGAGATGCTTTTTACTCTGCTGTTGGTGACCACGTTCTCAGGATGAAGAAAAGAGGAGCGGAAACGAGAAGAGAGGGAGGTCTGAAGATTCGAGCAGGAGCTCAGGTGATCTGTTCTTCCCTGGGAGGAAGTTTTTATACAAGGGAGACACAGAACAATATAGGCCAGCAAAGTGCTGGGTACACAGTAGGTATTCATAAACGAGGCAAATCTAGATGTCATAGGCCAAGTAGGTCATTGTTTGGGATGGAGCATTTTCAAGAGACCAAAGATGAACCCTCAAGTGTGGTGGAAGGAAGGTGGGGTTAGTTTGCATTCTGTAAGGCCCCTACCTCACTCTGCAGGGCGTGGACTTTCTTGGCCCAGGCCATCTTCAGGTCCTCAGGCAGTGCCGTGAACTCATGGTACTGTGTCCTGTAGTCAAGGTCACTGGCCAGGGCCTGGGCCTTCCTGGCATGGACCAGATGCACCATGTCCATGGGCAAGTGACACTGGGCTTGGCTGCTGGCCGCCTCCCTCTTGTACTGATTCTCACTCTGCAGCTGGCCCATCTTCTGGCAGTGCTGCAGCCGCGGGTCATCGCTCACACTCTGGATCCCAATGAGCTGCCCACGCTCCTTCACGAAGTCATGCCTATAGAGGAACTGGAAGAGAGGACCAGCTGGTCAACATACTACTGCTTCATACCCACCTGCCTGGATCCCTCACAGGCTCTGGGGGAAAACCAGCTCTTCTTTTTATAGAAGGAGAAGATTCTAAGAGCTACCACAGTCAGCTGGCCTGAGAGCATGCCTTCTTCCCTCGGGGCTGAAGGATGAAAACATTACTCTGCTCTTCCCATCTAATTAAAATCAGATCCTCAGAACCAAAGTAAGTTCCCTACTCCCCTACGTCTCCTATGGCCAAAAAGAATGTTAGCAAAAAGGGTAAAAGAGAAAGTTGCATTTTATCTACTTGTATCTGGCAAAACATTAAACCCCAAAGAGGATCTGCTCATTTGAAGTCCATACTTTCTATGATTTGTTTGTGGGAAAGAGAAGTCACCTTCATGTCCCAAAGCTATGGATGTATGAAACAGCTGGCAAGGCCTGATGCTGCGGTGGGAAGCAACAGACTCAGCCAAGGGGGAGACAATCACCATGGCTTGTCTCTTTCTCTCTCTCTGGGTGATATTGCAGACAGGCAGCTCCCAGGTAAAATGACCACTGCCTGAGATTTGCAGTTAGAAGCAAGCCATCACGTCCTTCTGCTTGAGACATTTGCATGAATTTAGCTTATGATCAGCCTTCCCTCCCTTCGTCAAAGGACCTCATTCAGAACTAATATATTCTGCAGATGACATCTTGTCTCACATGGTTATAGATTTGCTTTAATTCAGCCGTACACATTGTTTTACATGAAGTTAACAGAAATGAGGCAAGATGGAAGGTCGAAACATTCTACTCACATCGCTGGCTATGTCTCCAGAGGCCCTCGCAGCCTGGAAGGGCAGAGCGTCTATTGTCAGCTTGTAGCCTTGAGCACGAAGATTATGCCAAGACTCCTTGTATTTTGCCTAAAGTGGGAACACGTGTACATCTTTTTTAAAAAACTACATGAATCAAGGAACAAAGGCTATATACCCTTTCATTTGTAGCAGGGTGTTCTGGAATCTGTTTGTGACAGCAAAAGCTTTCTGTTTTGCAAAATCTCATTAGCACACACCCTGTGGTAGGCTCTGAGCACACACGTGTATATAACATATAAGAAAAAGCATGTGGATTTAACATGGGCACCTAAAACATGCACTTTCTAAAAGTTTCTGCAAATGTCAGAAAAGTGGCTTAGATCACTTTACAGGCTCATCCTGGATGGCCTGGGAGCATGTTTGAACTTCAGTTGGGAGAAAGGCTTACGTTGCTCAGATTGGCTGCGTTGGTTTTTGCTCGGATGAACTCGGGCAGACCAAGGGTCGTTGTATACTGGTGTCTCGCATCTTCTCCGGCTGCTCTGTAGAGGCGCTGCACCCACATTAAAAATAAATACGGTGAGAAAACAAGTGCTGTGTGTGTTCAGCACTGTGAGTCCTGTGCATTCATCCAGTGGAGCATGACAGCAAAAGGCCAGGTACCGTGTACCAGATAGAGCCCTGGGAGGACTTGTACTTCAGTAAAGACAGGCTGCATGAGTCAAATCCAGCAAAATGGAAGCAATATGTAAGGAACTGCAAATTGCTTTGCTAAATACTAGGCCAGGAAAGATTGACTGAATGGAGGATTGCTACTAAGGTTCCTTCCCTTGGCCAGCATCAGGTACTCCTAAGATGCAGGAGGTACAGCAAAAGTCCTGCTGATGGAAGAGGTCACCCTGGTCTGAGTCCTTTCCTGCAACTTCAGGGTCCTTTCTGAGAGTGAACTCATCAGACAAAAGAATCTGTCTCTGTGATCAGAAATGAGTCAGGGCTTGCTGACTTCTCCTAGGTCAGAGGCCATCCTAAAAATCACTGTGGCCCCACAGCCTTCAACTCACAAAGAAGAGGAAAGGCCAAGGACGAATTTCAAATGGATAGCCTCTCTTAGGAGACTGTGAACAGTGCCTCTTTTGGACTTTCTTATCCTCAGCTACCATTTCTGGCTTTTGAAGACTTGGGTTGAATGTGGAGGCAAAAAGTTAAAAAAAAAAAAGCAAATCTCCACCCGACTTCTGAAAGCTATGGTAGTGAGAGTCTTAAAAACTAAAGATGATCTGATAACATGTGTATGTTCAGCTGGCCTGCCAGCAAGGAGGACAGCCAGGAGGGCCAGAAAGATGATTTTTAGAGAAAGAGACCCCTTCCCCTTCCTCTCTTTTTTGCTAGGGGTAGTAAACAGTGGGGTAAATAGACCCAGTAAACACTGAGTGAGAAGCAGAGGGGTCAGGAAGCCAGACAAATGCCATATGAATGACCTGTCCTTGGATAACCACAAGTCCTCCATAAATGACCATCAGGAAGCCACGATAAAATTGGTTAGCCCACAAATACCTGTCTAGATAGAATACAGGGCAGCACTTCCTGGATTCTTTTTTTTTTTTTTTTTAAGCAATCTAGCCATCCTTGAAAAGCTATAGGAGAGTTCACCTCATTTGTAATCTGGTTGCTGAACTTTGCATGAAGGAGGTTGGGAGTGTCTGTCACAGCCGTGTACTTGAAAGACCCAGGATGCTGGCGGTATTTGCTCTGAGAAAGGAAGAAGACAGCTTGGTAAGGTACACCAGATGACAACAGAAGGAAGTGATGGCCTGCTTCTAACTGCAAAGCTCAGGCAGTGGTCATTGTACGCGGGAGCTGCCTGTTTGCAATATCACCCAGAAAGAGAAAGAGTCCTAATTGGCTGGGGGGGGGATATATGTGTGGTACATCTGTGTACATGTGTAGTATGTGTCTGAGCATGTGTCTACAGGTGCACATGCCCGTGTGTGCATGGATGTGTGTGGTGTGTGTAGTACGTCTGTGCATGTGTGTATATGTGTGGTAAGTCTGTACATGTGTGTATGGCATGTATGTGTGTGTGGACAGTGTGTGTCTGAGCATGTGTCTACAGGTGCACATGCCCGTGTGTGCATGGATGTGTGTGGTGTGTGTAGTACGTCTGTGCATGTGTGTATATGTGTGGTAAGTCTGTACATGTGTGTATGGCATGTATGTGTGTGTGGACAGTGTGTGTCTGAGCATGTGTCTACAGGTGCACATGCCCGTGTGTGCATGGATGTGTGTGGTGTGTGTAGTACGTCTGTGCATGTGTGTATATGTGTGGTAAGTCTGTACATGTGTGTATGGCATGTATGTGTGTGTGGACAGTGTGTGTCTGAGCATGTGTCTACATTTGTATGTGAGTACACGTGTGTATGTGTGCATATGTGTGGTAAGTCTGTACATGTGTGTATGGCATGTATGTGTGTGTGGACAGTATGTGTCTGAGCATATGTCTACAGGTGCACATGCCCGTGTGTGTAGAGGTCAGAGGTCAACTTTGGGTATCTTCCTCTATCCTCCCCACCTTATTCCTTTAAAAAAAGATTTACTTATTTTATGTGTATGTGCGTGTGGCTGAGTGTGTATGTATGCACACCACATGTGTGTAGATGGCTGTGAATGCCAGAAAAGGGCATCAGATCCCCTGGAATTAGAGTTATGGCTGTGAGCTGCCATGTGGGTATTGGAACTGAACTTGGGTCCTCTGCAAGAGCAACAAGTGCTCTAAACCACTGAGCCATCTCTCCAGTCCGTGCTTATTCTTGAGAGGGTCTCTCACTGAACCTGGAGCTCACCAATTGGGCAGACTTCTTGACTAGTGAGCTCCAGGGATCCTCCTGGCTCCACCTCACCAGCACTGGGATCATGGGTGCACACCGTGGTACCTGGCTTTTTCCATGAGTGCTGGGGATCTGAACTTGGGTCCCTATGCTTGCTCAGCAAGCACTTTACCAACTGTGCCATCTTCCTAGCCCCCACCAAGCTTGCTCAAGTGACATCCAGTCTGAATGAAGACTCCTCCAATAAGAATAGATGCACCAGGCAAGAGGCTGGGTGGCAGTTATAGCTTAACCTCCAGCTGCCTGAGCAGGAAGAAACAGACCAATGGGCACCTGCCATGGAAATCTCACACCACTGTTGCCCACTCTGGGAGAGGGGGTTCCCATTACCTCACTAATGAGCTCAGACGCTTTCTTTCTTCCTTCAATCTCTAACGTGCCAGGAATGATGCAGGGAACACCTCGCATGAAGTTCAGGTCAGAGCGGTACAAATTCTGCAAGGAATTATTACAAAGCGTCAGGAAAGCAGAACTCTCTGAGCAAGGAAGCAAGAGAAGCCAGAGGTGCTGGGACATCATTCAACAGCTTTACAGCTAGAACTCCAGGCAGGCTGGGTCTGTCGGGATGTGGTATATTCAACTGTGCGCACGCTGTTCAGTAAATGCTCATGGGGAGAAATGCAGGCCAGAAGAAAATAATTCTGCTGTCATTGCTCTGTGAGTAGCTGTGACAGGGATGCCAGACGAATTTTTGTTTTAATGTGGGCTAGCAAAACATAAACACTGGAGCGAATTGTGGTTAGAAAGTCAGGTATCTGGGGGCAAATGTACAAATGGTTTAACAGATCTTTCAAACTTTTGTTTGAAAGTGGCAGCAGGTGGCATAAATTAGTCATGGGTTAAGAAAGAACTAATAGATGTTTCCAAAATAATCTGGCAAAGACCAGTCTGGGGCTGCGTCTGTCTGTGTGGGTAGGAGGATATATATGTAGATCTGGGATGACAGTTTAAAGAGTCCCCAAATTCACTCCCTTCAGCCAGCAAGGTGCCCCCTGAGTGTGCTGCCTTCCAATTCTATCACAGCACCAGACAGGGTAAGCACAAGAGCACTGTATAAGTGACAAATGGACCGAGATGAATGTGGCAGGTCCCTCATCCCTACAGCTGTGCTCAGGTTCCTGACAGTTGATGTCATTCAGTAAATGTGGTCCACAGGCACAACACTCCAAGAAATGATAGGTTCAGGATCTGAGGGCCAGCACGCACGCACTGCTGAACTGGGACAGAGATTCTGGGTTGGTCTTGCTTTCCTCCATGAGTCTGTTGCCTGAACATCCCAGAACAGGCAAGTCTACAAGGTTAGGAAGGAAGTTGGGTACCAAACAGGATATTGCTGCCTGTTGGGAGGATCTGCCCCATCTCTGCAGGAATAAGGACATCCTCTGAGACTTGCCAACTCTCTGGAGCCTCCTTGCCTTGGAGAACAGGTATCAGGGGCTAGACGTGCCAGTCAGAGGAACCTAAAGATATCTCAAAGGGACCAAGAGGGCTCCAGCAGGCGTCTCTAGGGCCTGATTGCCTGGTCCTCTTCTGCACTCCCAAAGTGCAGGAGTTCAAAGCATGGATGCCGAGCATCTCTCCCGACACACTTTAGGCTTTCTCGGAAGAGGGGACAGGGATGCAGGAAACAGCAAGAGAATCCTCCATCCATCCTCAGACCAGGGAAAAAAACTCTGGCAAATCTTGAAAAACCACAAGCCTGGAGGACATATTCAAGCCAGAACCATTTTTATGTACATTTGAGTAATCTTAGACAAGCTAGCTACTTCCCTTGTGTCTCAAAAAATTTCTCTGGACAATGGGAATAAAGACTGTTAATATGGAGGCTGGAGAGATTACCCAGCAGTTAAGAGCACTAGCTGCTCTTGCAGAGGACCAGGTTTGATTCCCAGTACCCACATGGCAGCTAACAACTACCTATAACTCCAGTTCCGGGGGATCTGACACCCTCTTTTGATCTCCTCAGGCATTGCATGACATGGGTGCACCTATCTACGTGCAGGCAATACACTCATACACATAAAATAAAAATAACAAATAATATTTTAAAGACTGTTAATATAGAGTTATTGTGAGGATTAAATGAGATAATGTATAAAAACACAATGCTTTGAATTCAACGGTAACTCTTAAGGAAAGTTGTTCTTATTAGTTTGGTCTAATTGTGCTTGAGGGTTGTGTAGGAAGGTAGATTTCCAAAGATGAAGGTTCAGGATTTCTGACCTCTGAAGATTTCACCCAGCCAAGAGGAGCTTGCAAGCCATTGCCTTGTGATCTAAGCTGCCAGGAAAATGGCCCCGAGGGAGAGGCCCAACCCCTTTACCTCACTCTGTAACTTGTGAGCTTTCTTGGCACAGCTCAGCCTCAGGTCTTCTGCCAAAGATGTGTGCTGGGGGAGTGGATGTCTGTAGTCCTGGTCGCTGGCCAAGGTCTGAGCCTTCTTGGCATGTACCAAGGTTACCATGTCCAATGGCAGATGGAAGTGCGCCTTTGAGGGTTCAAAGCCTTTCTTGTAATTCACCTAGAGGGGCGGACAGATCAACCGTGCTATTTCAAAGCTACTATTGGCAACAAATCAGGGAGAGCAACCATGATGCAATTGTCCCATCAGCCATGGATGTTGCCGCAGGGCCAGAGCTCCAGCAATCTGTGTTCCATCCAGTGTATCTTTTTCCCAGTGTCTGCCCAAATTCAGGGTTTAGGTACCAGCAATTCTCACTCTAGGAGCCAAAGAGCTTCATCAAACACCACTTGCTAAACGGTCTGGGAGCCAGAAGGAGTGAATGGGTATTTGGAGAGCCAGTCCCGAGGACAGATATTCCCCAAATCCAACACACATACACACACCTTGAGAAAGGAGTGGGAAGCCCATTCTGTACTACCAGCTCCAGAAGCCCCGGGAAGAGCCCTGCAAAGGCTCAGGGCTTCCTTGGGAATCTGTCGCACAGCCACCTCGTTTTCCTCCTCCTACCTCCTTCCCATTGCCCCCTAAAGGATCAGCAACTTGACCCTAACATCCTATGTATCATTGATCACGTCCCCACCCCTAGTCCAAGGTCAAGGCCAACTCCCATCTAACCCTATACTTAGAGGTCAGCAACCTAAGACAGAAAAGGGAGGGGCAGAGGATTTAGAAACACGGAAACCAAAGCAGAGAACAAAATGGTGGAAAATACATGATGCTGTAGAAAGTGTGTGTGGGGGGGGGAGCTAGCTCCATGTCCTAGCCTGACTCTTTCTAGCTGCCTCCAGGCAAGGGACTGAGCCATTGAGAGTCTGGACCTCCTTATCAGTAAGATAGAGAAGAGAAGAGAAAGAGGGGAGGGGAGGGGAGGGGAGGGGACGGGAGGGGAAGTTTACAAGGTGGAGAGCCTAGAAAGACAGTTTGATAGTTAAATGAGCTACTACATACGCTAGACCTCTGTGCCATGTTGGGCACAGATTTCATCCCTGACACTAGCCATGTATATATGCAAGGAGAGCATGTATACACATATGTACCAAAACCCACAGGGTCACAATCAATTGTCAGAGGGTGGTGGCAAGTCAGGTACCTATATTTGTGTATAATAAGGTATGTGTGTGTGTGGTGTGTATCCAGGCAAGTATATACCTTGTCTACTTCAACCTACAATAGACTTCGGGAATATAGTCTAGCTTCTGGAAAGCAGTCTAGAATTTTCATGTAAATCTCCTCCATTTCTAAACATTTGTGATAATTCACTCAGCAGATCACATAAAATACCTCTGCAGGCCAAGGCCAATCCACAGACCCCCCTATTCGTGACCACTAGTCCAAATCAAAGAATGCCCAGCCCAGAAAGAAACTAAGGGGTTCATGAATCCAACTTCATTTTATAGAGGAAGAAGCTGAAGCCAGAGGTGATTTCTGAATGCTGCACAGCAGGTCAGTGGCAGAACCAACACCCACTCCCAAAAGGATGGAGGACCTGAGCTGGCTGTGCCATGAGCAGTGTTAGGAGGGCCCCACAACTCCCTGCGTCTCCTCCCACTTACATCACTCTGCAGTGAGGTCGCATGCACTGAATGTGCAAGGCTGAGGTCACCTTCCAAGCTCCGGGAGCCAAGCATCTGTCCTTTCATTCTCTCAAATGCCTCTTTGTATTTGTACTAAAGGGAAAGAGAGCCAGAGAGAGTAACAGCTCAGGGACAAGGGACACGGAATGGAAGAGGTGGGTATTGGGCGAAAATGTTTTGTTCTTTTGACAGTAACTGGGTGAGTTAAAAGAAAAAGCACCAGAGTCGTCAAAAGGTCTATTCTTTCATATGCAAGACTCCCAATGACTAAAGTGTTCCGATTTGAAATGGCAGGAGCATTAGCACTTGGGCGGCCCAGGCTGGGAGAAGGTGCAGGCATTGTTAACAGGCTCTTCACAGACTGGCTTTATGAAAACTCTTGGTGGAGGGTGCATTTCATCTGCCCAGGTTCCATGTTTACAGCCCAGCATTTGGCTTTGTACCCCAGGCTAGGGAATTTTTTCTGTTGTAGGATGTGCTCTTTCTCACTGATCATTATGATTGCCCTAACACAGTCAGTTTGGACAGGAGAGGATATTATATCCACAGGCAAAAGAAGGCAAGGGTTAGAGGCAAGAGAACTGAGAAAGGGCTTGGATTAAACATTGTCACAGTATTGGAGGCTCACATCACTTATGATTTCGCCGGAAGCCTTTGCTGCCTGGAATGGAATAGCATCCAACCTTAGCTTGTATCCACCACCTCGGAGCCGGCTCCAGGATTCCTTATAACGGGTCTGGCAGGGAGAGAGGCACAAGTCTGCTGGTCTTCTAAATTCTGATTTTCCCCATTGGGAATCTGGTTTGTTGTGGGTTTCTCTCTCCCACCCCCAAACCCTGTTTGTAGGTTAGAGATCACTATGACTTAGAACAGATTATCTAAAAGTCAGTTCCTGCCTCCCACCGACCCTTGGCAGGTGAAGTCATAGAGGGGGTAAAAGCAAGGGCTTTGGAGTATGATAGGTATTTCTTAGCAGCAAGCTCATTGGATTAAGGAGGTATAAAGTTGTATTTGTGTAGCTCTTTATACAATATAAAGAACAGCAAAACGCCTGTACCGAAGACCAGGAATAGTGGGAAAGGAGATTCTTATAGAGATTACAGAGGAGAGGAGTTAAGCTCCCCCAAATGCCTCCTTGGCACAGACACTGGAAACACCTGGCTTTATGGAGCTACTCCTAGGTTTCAGCTTCTTTACACCAATGTACTAAAGCAGGTACTTTACCTGTCTCATGTTTCTTAACAAGCTTGGCTCTTGTGCAGAACCAATTAAGTCATTTGCAGGGCCCAAGGCAAATACAGGTGTGGGTCCCCATATTCAAAGCAATCATAAATTTCAAGGTGATGACACTGTGCCTGCCCATGAAGATACCCATGTCCTCCTGTCACAGAACCCAGTGTCCCTCCAGCCAGCTTCACCTCACTGATGTTCATGGAGTTCAGTTTGGCCAGTAGGACTTCAGGCAAGTCAGCAGTTTGAGTGTAGTGGTGTTTTATGCTTTCTCCTTGTTCCTTGTATAGCCTCTGTGGGTGGAGAGAGGTTCTTGTGTTAAATCCAGAGTCTCCCCAACACAATCAGCAGCTAAGTTGTGCTCTGGGAGACTGAGGGACTGCAGCTGCCCATCATTATAGAGATGTGATCACAGCACCCGGTCTCTACCCAGATCTCACGGCTGGCACGGTGACATGCCATCACCCTCTCTCCAGCTCTACTCTATTCTCAGCTCATGACAGGCTGAGACGTTTCCCTCTCCAAGGATGCTACACTCTTATGCACTGCTGAGACAAGTGTCATCCAGGGAAAATGAGGCCTAGTCACCACCGAGTCGTCTGGTTATTAACTGCAAGCTGTGGGAAGGCATTGGAACCCAGAAGTCACACAGGAAATGACCCTTCGGTAGGTGAGGCTTCATCAAGCTCACCTCCATTCTCTTCTCTCTCCAACCTCAGGGTTAGTGACCTAATAAATACCCTCCTGGTAAGTTAAGATCCTCTTTACTCAGAACTCTGATTTGGGCTTCTGACAGCATGTTAGTTTGATAGATGACATATGGAGTTGGCATCAGCCACCAAAGAAAGTTTCTGAATCATGTTTTTCCATCTCAACTCTTATCAGATGTGGTTCTTTCTACATATCACAGCACTGCCCCCTAGAGTTGGTTAGGGTGAGGATGCAGCAAAGAAATGCCTTTTTCCCACCCCCCAAGAAATTCTTCAACTGTTTCTGTTTCTCAGAATTCAATTTGATTTTGATGAGCTGGTTAACAAGAAGTCAGTTCCTAAACCCAAAATCTGGGAATCATCCCATCGCATATCCTACAAGCATCCCAGCTCTTTAGGGGTGCCTATAGCAAAAAGATACAACCAGAAGAATTCCTTACAAAACCACAGAGGGACTTTTGAAACCTGATCCCCCAAGGTTTATACATTTTCTTTGTGGGAAGTTGAACAGTTTGAAGATATTTCAAAGCAAAGTCTGCCTTACACAGAGCTCCGTGGACTTCTCTCAGCAGCCAAACAGAGCTAATCCCTGTGCTAAAGTGAGTTTTTATAAGACCTCAACATTCCATTTGGTCGCTAGTGAACTGGGTGTTTGGTCAAAGCCCATAATTTACAAAATATGGAAAATGGCTTAAAAGTCAGGCTAATATCCATGAATAAGACTCAAATCATTTTCAAAATCTGGGGAAATGAGAGCACAATACCAGTTCCTGCCTTTGGGACCCAAAGATCCCTAAGTTTGGATTCCATATTCCGATTAGAGAGAATTTTGCTCAAAGTCCTAGCTCTGAAAACAACATTTTGAAACAAAATGAGAAGGGGAAAGAGGCCCCCTAGCCACAAATCTGCAAGCTGTGCAAATGGAAAGGACAGCATCCATGGGGCAGTGGGGTGTGGAGCCCACTTGGCACCCTAAGTGCAGGAATGCCCCGTTTGCATCCTAATGAGGCAGCAACCCCGCTAAGGGGAGCCTCATAAAGGACAAGCAGTCCCTTCATCCTCAGGACACAGAAGGAGCAAGCCCAAGATCCCCTCTGCTTCAATCGTACCGTTGAAAGAAGGGCCCACTCTCAGAGTCATAATGTATATACATTATCACTTACATCCACTGCTTGGGTATAACTAATCCTAGCCTGGACCATCTCCGGAGTGTCTTTAATACTGGTAAACTTCAAAGCATCTGGATGCTGACGGTACTTCCTCTGTTGAGCAGGAAAAGATCAAAGCTGTGAATTTTGTGCTGCTCTTTCAAGCCATTTGAAAGAGAAAATCACAGGTTGCTTGAGATTAGAGTGAATTTGTGAACATAATTATTATTCGGCTTCCTCCATTTTTATATCCTAGGTACCTTCAGGTTAATATTTGTTTCAATTTAAGAATAACCTCATGTCAATTAACATTAAAGTACTTCTACCTGGTGCAAAGACAACATCTCCAAATTAGATTATGCCAGTGAAATACTGTAAGGTACACACTTAGGAAGTGATTCTTTTTAGGGGCTGCAAATACTGAGTCGCAGTTGTTTACATATGCTTAGTCTGGCTCTCGTAAGAAAGAGCATTCCTAGCTACAGCTACATTATCCAAAGAACCTTTCTATTTTCCTTCCCCCAAAGGACTCGGCAGACATTATCACAGTCAAAACCTTCACATTTAACATTCAGATAGTATTCGCCATTTAACCACTTAGAGTATGGCTCATTTAGTACATGCAGTAATTCTATAAGATAGTACAATAATAAGAAAAAAGGGTACTTTAATGAAAGGAGTTATAGTAACATTTGAAAGACACTGAATAAACAAAACAAAAGCAACCAAAAACTTAAATGCTGGCAAAAAGTCTAGATAACTCATTTTAAAGTACTCTGGATATCATGTTTAAATTCACTGCTTTTTCTTTTCATCAAAGCACAGTTTTCAGGTCCTGAAATAATGTTATTTTAGTGGCACTATGGAATTTATGTTTCTCCAAATCAAGTTATTTTCTAAACACCTGCTCCTTTGTCTTATCTTTTTGTATATTGTACAGGCTTGTCTTAGCTGCAGTTGAATTTGGTCAGTAACCTGTGTTTTATAAATAAAGTTTTATTGGAACATGGCCATGCTCATTCCTTTACATGTTGTCTATGCCCATTTTTCAGCTCTTTGCAACAGAGACTAACCAACCATCAAGACTAAAAATATTTATTTTCTGAAGTTTTACAGTAAAGTTTTGAGGACTCCCAACGTGCGTGTGCATGTGTGCGTGTGTGTGTGTGTGTGTGTGTGTGTGTGTGTGTACATGCCCATATATTTGTGGCTCTTTTACAGTGTCTGGCATTCTCTCTGAGCATTAAACCAGTCCAATTTGACAGTAACCTAGAAACATGAGACAGTTGGGGAAAAGTCATTAAACTATATCTTGACTTACGTCCAGTTTGAGGACTTGTCTAAAGCAAAAACATAAGCAAGAAAAAAATAAGCAAAATTTCTTGAGAAAGCTTACAAGATGAGAAGAATGAGCTAACAAAATCAGACCACCACTATGGGCCAAATACTTCCCATAGATTCTTTGGTGCCAGACTTAGACACACAAAGGAAAGCTCTGGAGTTCTAAATTGTGCGTGGAACAGTCTTTATTCCATTTTATGAGTGGCCCCAATACTGAGAGTTTGGGATCATGAATGTTTATTCCCAGTTTTTCATGTTCATTCTCCCCAGAGGTCCTTTCTTTTGTTAAACTGAACAAAGCAGGACAGTATTGACTCAACTGAAGTTCCAAAATTCTTTGAGTCTTGAGTGTTGACTAAGGTGTCTAAAAATTAGGCCAGTCCATGACTCAAGACAACTTTAGCAATGTACTTTTTAATGTATCAGGTAACTAAATGAAGTCTTGTGGGAAACATCAACACTAGGCAAGTGTGTTAACAAAACCAACATAGCTGTCTTTCTGTTTTGACTATGCAGTCGATAAGAAAGTCTCCTTGAAACAAAGATCCAGGATGCTCATTGGCAAATCTCCGGTCTTCGAGGGCTATAGACACCAAGGGCTCCTCCCTGCCCAGAAAAGTTCACAAAGACCAGTCTATTCTAAATGCTTGTTTGCATCCTCCTCAACAGACATAAGGAGGAAGGAGTCTGCTGGGTTTGATGGTGCAGTATGGGCCTCTGCCTGAGTTGAAGCAAGTCACAGCTTTCTAGCACACTTAGTACAGCCGCAATTCTGCCCCCTAGTGGACATCTGCCAGTTGTCCTTAAGATTGTCAGCACTGGGCAGAGGGTGTTCCGACACCTAAAAGGCCAGAGATGCTGCCAGAACATCCTGTAAGACCCAGTGCAGCAGCGCCTCACCAGAAAAGAAGGGATTAGCCAAATGCCAACAGTGCTGAGGTGGCGAAAGCTGCCTGACATCATCTTTCAAACTATTGTTCAACGAAAATGCCCAGAAATGCAGAAATGTGGGTGAACGACTCATCTCATAAGAGGTACCAGTCAGGGTGGCTGTACATTGGCAGGAGTGAGATTTAAATATAGCAGAAGCGACACCCACCCCCAACAAGAAAGAACCAACCACATACCCGTACTGAACACCATGTGAATATTCAAAAACTGTTTACACTGTGGCAGACAGAGGGAGAAGATGTGCAAAAGTTATGTTATAAAAGGGCTTCCTGGGTGCCACAAATGTAGCTTTTCATCATCTCTCCTGTGTGGCTTCATTAAAGGTAAGTTGGTGGGTAGCAATTGAGCTCTGTTTGATTGTCATTATTATTCATAATATCATTTGTCACCCACTTTGTTTTTGCCGGGGCTCTATGGGCTCCTACCGGTGTGTGTTTGGTATGTAGCTTCGCTCTAATTACCAGCCCTAGTCCCGATTTGGAGGCCTTTCATGTGGCTTTGCCTTTTTCTTTGCCTTTAGAGTGGAAATTATTTTAATTTTATACAGAAACGCCACACGCCTAATGTAGCCAGGCCCCGTCACACACGCTGTCAGGAAATCTCACCTCACTAATGAGTTCTCCTGCCTTCTTCGCCTGCTCCACATTTAATGACCCGGTGGCGACCCAGCCTGTGCCTTTCATCCACTTCACATCTGCCCTGTACTGGTTCTGACAAAGGAGAAAGAAAGGGGGAAACGGCAGGCCATTGTTGGTGAGCAGACATTCAAAGGGCTGTTAACAGTTCCCAGTGTGCCCTCAGTGCCAGCTGAGTCAAATTAAATGCTACTTTGTCTTATCTGTTTCTGCAGAGTCATGGGTGGGGCACCCAAATATAAAAATTAATTTCCCCTTTAATCAGAGCCCTCCTGGCAGATGGTGGCTTTAGGCCCCACCCAACACTACTAGGGGCAGAGCAGGAAGGGCTGAGTCAACCTGGGCCTTCATTAGGGACTCCTGTCTACCGCGGGACAGGAGCATCTGCATTGTCCGCTGTATCGGTTTTCTTGTTTAAAATGGCATGCAGGGGAAGACAATGAGGGTTCATAAAGGAGCCTAGACAAGACACCTGAGGCTTCCCACTGTACCAATTCCTCCCTCCCATCACCATGGGGGACAGGAGGGGGCTAGTTCCCATTTCTTCACTTGCTATTGAACAAACGACTTCAATTGAAATTATTTAAATGAACACTATCATGAAACAGCTCTACCAGGAAAGAATGTTTGCTCTTTGTTTCTAATTCTCTCTCTCTCTCTCTCTCTCTCTCTCTCTCTCTCTCTCTCACATACATACACACCCATGTACACACACATGTACACGTGTAACAGCCCAACCTCAGCTGACTCCCTCACATATATTCTAATACAAGAATCAACCAAGCACAGAAAGAAGTCAGAGCCAAGTCTGGGGTGCAAGGAGGAAGGAGAAGGGGTTGTTGAAGATTAGCCCCCCTCATTCCGCAAGTAGGACCCACCAGAGCCGGAATGAGTTGTCAGTGACACTCTCACAGCTCACCACAGCTGGGACTGTCACAAAGACATTCTCCCCCAACAACAAAAAGAAACTTGGAAAACATAAGTTGATCAGAATTCCAAGAAGGAAAGGCAGCTCTGCCTGTCTTTTGGTACAGAACCTAAAATCAGCACAGCGAAAATAAAAGTTAAGCCACGGGGGAAAGTATTTCCCCTGAGGGATCCAGAAACAGACACCCCAGAAGCACAAACTGATGTCTCAAAGGGTCTGGGGAAACGCTGACACCAGCGCCCATGCACACATGCCCCTACGAGTGCATGCAGATGCTCAGCTCAGAGCTTACATCACTCTGCAGGCCATATGCCTTCTTGGCCCACTCCACCTTCATGTCTGTGGGCAGAGCGGTGAACTGGTGTGACACCGTCCTGTAGCCTATGTCTGTGGCTAAGTGCTGTGCCTGGCGGGCATGGGTGAGGTGGATCATGTCCAGGGAGATGTGGCACTGGGATTTCGAGTCCTCGAAGCCCTTCTTGTACTCCAGTTCACTCTGCAGCTTGGACATCTGCAGCGAGTGGCTCATCTTCGAATCCCCCTGTGCGCTCTGTGCTCTGATGAGTTTCCCCCTGGACCTTTCGTAATCCTCCTTGTACTTGACCTAAATGAGAACCACAGAGCAGCCGTGCAAGGTCAGTCTCCTCAAGAAGCTGGAGGCTTTAAATCATGGGTGTGAGGGCTAACACAAAGCCATCTGACAGAAGCCTACAGAATTGAAGTGTGGACAGCGGGGGCATCTCCTTTCATTAGAGTGTGAAATGAAATATGACCACCCACTGTTTCCCTTTTCACCTTGGCTGTCAGAAAGCTCTGAACTCAACTGAATGCTAAAATGTTAACAGACATCTACCAAATTTCTACAAGATGTCATCTTTTCTCTAGTAATTTGAGACCCCTCTCAATTTCTTTTTTAAAAATCATTTTATATTGTATTTTAGATTAAGTTTCCTTTTATTTATGTATATGTGTCTGTATGTGTATAGGCGCACCTTCCTGTGGGAGTCCTCAAGAGACCAGAAGAGAGTATCTGATTCCCTGGAACTGGACGTACAGGCAGTTGTGAACTTCCCAGCATAGGTGCTGGGAACTGAATTCTGGTCCTCTGAAAGAGCAGCAAGAGCTCTTAACAGCTGAGCCATCTCTCTAGCTCCCCTCTTAATCTCTTTTTATGTTTTACTTTTTTTTTATCTCTTTTAAACCAACTGTTGTTTTCCACAAAAAGCCACTTTAAAGTCTTTGTGGATAATAATGAGAACATTATGAATTAAAAAATAGTCAAGAAATGGAAAAGATACAGAACATTCAAAACAGTTGTTAGGAAAGGAGTTCAAGCTGGACATGGTGCTGGGCGTAGTGGCACACGCCTTTGATCCTGGCACTCAGGAGGCAGAGGCAGGCAGATCTCTGGGAGAGCAAGGCCAGCCTGGTCTACAGAGTAAGTTTCAGGACATCTGGGGCTACATAGTGAGAGAGCCTGTCTCAACTGAGAGAGGAGAGAGAGAGAGAGAGAGAGAGAGAGAGAGAGAGAGAGAGAGACAGCCTTGAACCCTTGATTCTCCTCCCTCTGATTCCTGAGTGTGCCACCATACCGCACCTTCTCCTTCTATCTCTCAGTCTCTCTGTTTCTCTCTCCCTTCCTTCCTTCCCTTCCTTCTTTTCTTCCTTATTTCAAGCACGACTTTCCAATGAAGAAAGCAAAGTTTTGCTTACATTCTGGCCCACCTACCTCTCATCTAACTCATAAATTATCACACTGGGCCATAACACAATATGCATCAATTCATTTCATTTCCTCATAATCATCTTGTACTTACTAGCTTACCCGCAAGGTAACAGGACACGGAAAGGCAAAACAGTCTGCCTATATAACAGCACAAATACATGACAGAGATAGCATTTTATCCAAGGTCTATCAGATAGCAGAGTCTGTTTTCTGAACCGGGAACAGGCCACAATGCCTTATAATGACATGTGTAAAGGGAGGGATCTGAAATGTTTCCAGTTGCTAAGTTTCCTTACTTACTAAGGAATTTTACTAAGATTTCCACTTGCTGAAAACCAGTATGAAGCAGCAGTCTGCTCACCACTGGAATTTCCCTGAGGTTCTGGGAGATGAAGAACCTGCCCAGACAGAAGCAGCAGATCCCAGGTCTCTTGCTCAAGTTGGGGCTGCACTCACCTCACTGGCCAGGTCTCTTTTGGCTTTGGCTGTCAGGAAGGTCAAGGAGTCAAGTCGCAGCTCAAATGCTTTTGCCTTCTGATTTTCCCAGCTGCTCTTGTACAGTTTCTGGGGGAGATTTAGAAGACAATTATCCATAAGTGAGTGGGTTTCCTCTAGATCCTCTGATGACCTTCCTAAGAAGTCAACAATGAAGACATCCTTCCCTAGAAACTGAGAGCCCTCGGCTCTCGTAGCCTAAACACAACTAGGTCTCCTTGCCCAACTTGAAGACCTCTGAACAGATTAGGCATCAATCAAAAGAAATGGGAACTAAAACCTCAAAGCTTAAAAAAAAATCCCTAGGAGGTGTCACAGCAGTCTCAAAGACACACTGAAGATGAAATAATGTTGCATGGCACAGCATTGGAAGGCCTGTTCTCTAGGGTCCACACATGCCAGCAGCAGACCTCAGCCAAAAAGAGACTTCAGCCTTTCTCTTTCCTGTGCCATCCCCACTCCAGTCTCCTGTCCTCCTGGGCCTTTCCTTGGCCTTCCCATTCCCTGACCCCTGCCTTCAGGTTTCAAGATCTTTTCTCCCGGAAGGCCTCCTTCTTTTTCAGGGTGTGAATCAGTTCAGCCTCTGCCTTTCCTTCTACTTCTCCTTCTCATCTCTTCCCAGATCAGGGTCACAGGGACTTGGGAGCCTCATAAAGACAGCCAAGAACAGGCATATGGGGACAAGATGGCAGGCTGTGGACACAGTCACATCAGACAGCCACCACTGCATACCCCTCAAGCGTGTCATGTACATGCACTTGTGGAAACCTTGTGGCAACCCAGTGAATAAGGGATAGTATCAAACACATTTTACTAATGGGCAACTGAGAACTGGTCTTAGGTCACACACCAGTAAGTGGCAGAACTGAGGATCAAACATCTGAGCTGCCATTGCTCAATGCTAACTCCTGGAATAACCACTCCCCCAACACCATGATCTGTAAGTTGTCTTCCTCTCCCTGAAAGCAATGGTCAGGAACCAGATCTGCAGGGGTAGTATAGATGACGCAGATACTACCAATGGGGTTGGTGACCAGGTGGCCTTAGACACAGGGAGACAAAGCCCACATCTGCCCACTCCCCGCTTCTGGTACCTCACTGAGCTGGGCAGCGTTGGCCCGGGCCTGTAAGAAGAGAGGCTCATCTTTACTGATGGTGTACTGATGGACAGATTGCTCGTTTCCTGCCCTGTAAGCCACCTGTTGAGAAAGAGCAGGGTCAGGAGATGGGAAGGGGCAGGGGTAGGAAGCCTATCACAACTGGATGGAACTGAAGGCATTGAACTACGTGCAATAAGACAGGTAGAGACAAAGACTACATGATCTCACTCATTTGTGGAAACTGAAAAAGTTGACCTAATATAACTGAAAAGCAGAATAAAGTTCATTAGAGGCTAGAAAGGGTATGGGAGTCAGGGAGAACAGAGAGAGGATGCATAATGGGTATGAAAATACAGCTGTTGGGAAAAAACTCTAACGCTGTATAGCCCAATAAGCTAGCTGTGGTCTACAGCAATTAATTTTACAGTCTTAAGGAGAAACGTAAAAAAGAGTATAAAAGTTGAGGCCAGTCTGCGCTATTTAGTGAGTTCCAAGCCAGCCTGGACTACAGAGTGATACTCCTCATCTCAAAACAAAACCAAAACAGAAACATACGAAAACAATCAAATATATAACCACCAGATCAGACATTAATTATGTGACAATACAGTTTTGTTTTGTTTTGTTTTTTTAAGAGGCTAAGGACAAGGACCAACCTAAAAACCTCTCCAAGTTTCTGTTTCCATAGTTTTCCCTAGAAATGCCATTGACCTCCCAAATCTCTTGCCATCTACATTGCTCATGGCCACTGGAAAATGCCCCACCACCACCTCATGGCCAGAGGTGCTGACACCAGGAAGTATCAATGACCAGCAGGAGGTGCTGACAGGACAGCACAGCACAAGCAAGTTTCTCCATGGAAACAAGATCTCTCTCTCTCTCTCTCTCTCTCTCTCTCTCTCTCTCTCT